GCGCATCGAAATGGATGATATAAGCTGCAAGATGCAGGCCTACCAAACCAAACTAAAGCTACTAGGCGAGAATCCGGATAACGTGACCACCGCACTGGAGCGCGGCCAGGGGGACAAGCTGATCGACCTTGAGGAGCCAATAATAATGCCTGAAACAGCGCCAACTGCAAATGGCAGTCAGCCTGCACTGGAGCTGGACGAAGAACTGGCGAAGCTTAAGCAATCGCTGGCCGAGCATGAGACACAGTTAAAGCAGCTGAGCAAAACCAATGAGGAGGCCAACAGCACAATTGCTGCGCTGCGTAAGCAAGAGGAGGAGAATGTGCTGTTGCTGGCACAGACCAAACAAGCTATACACACGGAGCTGGAACATAAGGAAGCCGAAGTGCGCCAGCTGCAGGAGAAGGTTAAGCAGCTAGAAATTGAATTGGACACGGCCAATGGCAGGGAAACGCAGTCGGTTGACATCAAGGAGCAATTTAAGAAACTACAAAGCGCCAAACAGGAAGTGGACGCTAAACTCATTGCAACGGAGCATGTGCTAAGCACACTGAGAGTGGAGCACACGGAAAAGGAGCAACAGCAAAAGAAAATAGAGTCCGAGCTGGCCAGCAAAGAGAAGGAGCTGCAGAAATTGCAGGAGCAGTTGAAGCAACAAGAAGCTGAGCTGGCTCAGGCAACCAGCCGTGGATCGCAGGCAAAGGACATGGAGGAACAGCTGAAGATGGTGCAGAATGCCAAAAAAGAAGCAGAAGCGAAACTTGCTGCAACAGAACTGGAATTAAAGGCTCTCAAAAATGGCCAACAAGCAGAGCAGCAGCAAGTGGCATCGCAGCTTACGAAAACAACAGCTGAGCTGGAACAAAAAGAAAGCAAACTGCAGCAGTTGGAGGAGCAGTTAAAGCAGCAAAAAGCCGAGTTGCAAATGGCAAACAGTCGGGAGACGCAAGCCGAAGCTGTCAAAGAACAATTAATGCAGCTGCAAAATGCCAAACAGGCAGCGGAGGCTCAGTTGCTTACAACGGAGCAATTGTTAAATACACTGAGATTAGAGCACACCGAAAAGGAACAACTGGCAGCGACGCAGGAAAAGCAGCTGCAGTCCAAGCTGGAACATAAGGAGAATGAACTGTGCCAATTGCAGGAGCAGCTTACAAAACTAAAAGCTGAGCTCGATACCGCCAATACTCAAGATGAGCTCAAGGAGCAGCTGCACAGTGCCCAACAGGCAGCAGATGCCCAGCTGCTGGCCATGGAACAACAGCTGAACACACTGAAAATCGAGCATGCGGCAAAGGAGCAACAGGTGGATGCGCTGCAGGAGCAACTGCGCACACTGAAAACGGACAGCGAGCAGAGTTTGCAAGACTTGCGCCTGCATAATACTCAGCTAAATGAAATCGTACAGCGCTATCAGCAAAATGAGTCGAGCCTGGATGAGCTGCAGAGTCAGCTAGAAGACGCCCGAGTTCGACTGAGGGAGCAAGAGCAGCATGTGCTTGAAACTGAAAAAACCCTGGAAGTCGAACAGGAAATAGTTGCCGCACTCAGCGCCGAAAAATCAGCAGCTGAGGAACAGACGCTCAAGCTGCAGCGTGAGCTGCAAGCCCTGAGCGATCAATACGCCAGCAGCAATAAGAATGAGTCGGAGGCGACGGCAGCCTTGAGGCTGCAGATCGAAGCACTCAACGAACAGCTGACTGTTGCTCAGGCCGGCACGCTGGCCAAGGAAAAGGAGCTAAAGGCGGTCGCCAACAAACTAAACAAGCTGAAAAAGCAACACGAGCAGCTGCAGGCAAAGCATAGCGAGCAAGGCACCAGCCTGGAGCAGCTCAAGGCAGAGGCGGCGAACGCTGAACAGCTGCGGCGCGAGAAGCAAGAGCTGCAGGAACGCGTCAATGTCATACTCGAAGAGATCACAACCATGCAAGCCCATGTGCAGGAAGTGCAGGCTGCACAGACGCAACTGGAGCGCGAAAAGCAGCAACTGGAAACACACATTGAGGCACTGCAGCAGCAGCAGCAGGAACGCGATGCGCATGGTGAGCAGTCGTCGGCCAGGCTTGAGGAGATTGAACGCGAGAATAGCAAACTGGCCGAGCACAACTGTCTGCTACAGGAGCAAAATAATCACTTGCAGAAACAGCAGGACGAGCTCAACAGGTTGCAGAACAAATTGCAGCAGGTGCTCGATGAGCACTCTAAGCTGCAAAATGCGCAGGAAATTATGGAGCATGATCATCGCACGCTGCAGGACAAATGCGATGCCTATGAAAAGGAAAATCTCATAGCAAAGGATGAGCTCAAATGCCTGCAACAAGAAAAAGATACCTTGGAGGCGCAAAGAAGTAGCCTGCAGCTTGACCTGGATCAAGCACAGCAACAGCTGTCAGAGGTGCGCGAGCGACAACGCGAACTGGAGCAGCACCTGGCAGAGCAAACGCATCGCTGCTCTGAGCTGGAGGCCAGCAATGAGCAAGTGGCCACACTCCAGGCAACCGTCCACAATTTACGCGAGCAGCTGGATTCATTTAAAGAGGCGGAGAAGGCCATGCTCGAAAAAGCTCAGGCTGCCAGCGTTAACCATGCAGCGCAGTTGGAAACGCTGGAGGCACGTTGGAGTGCTGCCAATGGGGATGTGCAGCGACTGCACGAGGCGAACGACGCACTGCAGCGGGAAATCGAGACGCTGAAAAACTCCACGCATGAGAAGTCCGCATACGAACAGCTACAAATCGAAAACGAATACCTAAACAAGCACACCAAACAACTGGAAATAGAACTCTCGCAGGCATTAACCTCGCACGGCGACAGCGGCGAGAAACTGAAGTCGCTGCAGTGTGAGCTGTACGTGCTGCAGGAGCAGGTCTTGCAGCATGCCAGCCAGCTAGCCGAGAAGGACTCCGACGCGGCCGCTGCCAAGGCGGAGGCGGCGCAACTGAAGTCCGCGCTGGAGGAGCAAACTATAGAGTTGACACGCCAGGTGGAGCATGCCAAATTTGTCAGCGAACAAAACGACTCGGTGCAAAAGGAGCTGTTGCAGTCACAGCAACAGCTGCAGGAACGCCAAGCTGAGCTTTCGAAAGCGCAAGAGCGCTGTCTCAGCCTTGAGGAGCAACTGGACAAGCAGCAGAGTGAGCAGGATAAGGAACAGGCACAGCCAGCAGCAGCACTGTCCAACGATTCCGAGCATTTGCGCAGCCTCAACGAACAACTGCAACGCGAGCTGGAGGATCTGAAGCATAAAAGCAACGGGGAGCAGACAAATCTGCAGCAGGAAATCGATGAGTTGCAGGCCAACAACAAGGAAATGACGGAACGCATCACGGAACTGGAAACGTTACGAGCCGGCATACAGGCACAGCAGCTGCTGGCCAGCTTGGCGCCCAAAAGCGTCCAGCAGGCAGCTGCCAACGATGAAAAAGCCCAGCTGGAGTCAAAACTGAAAGACATCATGAACGAGGTGCAGGATGTGACCAATCGGAACCTGTTTCTTGAACAAAAATGCGAAAACTTTCTCATACTCGAGCAATCCAATGAGCGTCTGAAGCTGCAAAACGCAAAATTATCGCGGCAATTGGATGAAACACTGGTAAGTGCCCAATTCCAAAGATTATTTTCATATGCTAAACCGCTTTTTCACGTCTTGCAGGTATCCATGCAGCATAGCGACAGCGTGCCAGCTAACACGGAATTCGAGTATCTGCGCAACATCATGTTCCAGGTAGGCAGCAACATGGTCCACACAAAAAACGTAGCTAAATCGCCTTAAAGGGCTGTAGGCTGTCTACTCCCTGTATCTGATGTTGATAGGATTTGGGTCATGTGGTAGAACTGGTAAATGCCCAGTTTGGTTAGGTTATCTTAGACAGACGGACAGACAGGCAGACGGACAGACTTGTCTACATCGACTCAGCTGTTGACACGGCTGAAGAATATATTAACTCAATGAGGTCGAAGATGTCTCCGTCTCTGTGTTACACATATCATGACAAAGTCATAAGAGCTTATATAAGTGTTCAATGATTTGTAAGGTAAAGGTATACGTATACATAAATTGTTAGTCTTTTGGTGTTTGCACATACCTAAATCCCATTTTCTTAATTGTAGAAATATATAACGATCGGACAACAAAGAATCATAATTTCTTATTTTGTGTATTTCCTAGTCGGGCATTGCGACTGTTACAATGTAACAGTTGGTTAATTAATCTTTATAATATTTGTAGTATGTAACACTTTGAAAATTAATCTTTCTATATTTGCAGTATTTGACCGGGAATACAAACAACGAAACTCTGGTTAAAGTCATATCGGCAGTGCTGAAATTTTCGCCCCAGCAGGCACAGGTTGCCCTCGAAAAGGAGCACCAGCGGCGCTCACTAGTATGTATTCTAAACTCAAACTAAATTAAATAAAATAACCGTCTTATATATTTTCCTGATTGCAGCTAAACAAGCTGATCTAGCAAGAATTGTTGGTACTCTACGGAAGCAGCGGCAGCTGGTGGCAGCCTTGCAATGAAACGCTTCTAGACTACTAAAATCAGAGCTGAACCGTTTAGCCCAAGTTCACAAGTACCTTACCTCAACTTAGCCACAGGTTATTGCTCACCGCTGCATAAAGGCATTTCGACTTGAGGGCATTGTTAATAATACTTAAATATCATACTGCAATATTTGGACATACTTACATATGTGTAGCCCATTGTACAGTGTCGGGAAACTACAACAAAAATAACCGCTCTATTTTGTACATTTGACAACTATGCTAAAATGTGTGTGCTGCTCGTTTAACACCAACTCCACGCTTTTTCCATTTACCGTGCAATCATTTCTACATTTAATGTGTGTATTCCTTGCTAATTCGATGTTCATTTTAGCTGTAAGTGAAAAATTGTAAAGATATCAATTGCAGTTAGCATTTAGTTTAATTCAAAATAATATATATAAATATATACATAAATAAATAGTTTCAATTCATACAATTTACCAACTCGAAATTCGGAAACCATCCTTAGCGATACAGCAGATACTGATGCCGGCGTTCAACAAAACTGCGCAGCATAGCACGTGTCAGAGATGTTAGCTGATAGCTCGGCCTATAGCCCTGCAGGGCGTCCAGAGCAAATCCGTAGCCGAAGCGCTGTGTGCGCAATATGGCTTGAACGGCTGCTTGCTGGACAAGGGGTCGTGGCGCCGCTACGAGTATACGCTTGAAGAGCGCTATGTAGCCAGAGATATCAGATTTGCCATCCAGCGGCAGCTGTTTGACAATCATTGAGATGCACTGCAGCAGGCACTCAAGCCGCGCATCGTACTCCTCGCTTTGGACACATAGATCACAATAGCTGTTGGCCAGCGGCAGCAGATGTTCCGCCAGCACATTGCTCACATTCAGATGAGCGCTTCGCCTGCAGAACAGCGCAAAGGCATAGCTAAGCTGATGGGCGCGGCCAGCTTTTATTTTCTCTACCAGATTCTCGATCACCTGCTGCTTGGTGGGTTCAAAGGGCTGAAAGTGATATTCAAAGCGTAGCTTGGAGATTAGCGCACGATCGGTTCCATGCGGATCGCTGACATTGTACTGATGGCTCATCAGCAGATGCTTAATGACCGTAATCAATGGATCCGCATGATCATAATCTCGTTCTTCTCGATGCGGCAGAACGGTTGGAAAATGGCATAGCACCGCTAGCACCAGTTGCGACATCTGCTTGCTATAATGATAGAGTATTTTGGCCAGTAATAAGCGTGCGGGATTAACATAGCTCTCAACGGGACTCGTTAGGCTTGCCTGCAGTCCAATCAACTGCAAAGAGAGTTTCACAAATTTGATTGCCACCGGCTCTGTGAGTCGCTCCTTCAGGCTAAATAAACGCTGCTCCAGCGTGTTCATGAAAAGCTCGATAAACGTGCAGCTCTGGCACTCCAACTGCCTAATCACAGTCAGCAGACGCTCCTGGGCGCTGCCATCTGCAGCTTCCAGCTGCAGTTCTCCATATGCCGATATCAGCACGTTTACAAGCACCTGGGCATCGGCTGTTTCCAGTTGAACAGAACTCAAGTCCAGCGGCACCGAGTGCTTCAAGTAATCAACCATTTTTGGCTGCAGTTGCTCCATTTGTTTCTTGTTTAGCTTCTGCTTGCGGTGTCCACGTTGTTTGGCATTGGCTTTGACAGCGTTCACCAGGAAACATAACAATGCCTTTGGCACGCTCGCGCTGTGCTCACCCCCGGGCGGCTCCAGTGGAATTTCGATGGGCTCGCTGTCAACCTGCTCGCAGCCAACCGGCGACATGGGCGAACAAGCATCTATGCAGCTGGGCTGCGTTTCACTTGTGACTTTGATCGTTTCCTGGTTACCTGCTTCAAGCAACAGCTGCTTGGCTTGGAGTCGCGTCAGACGCTTCTCAACGGGCTGCGAATCGGATGTGCTGCGCGTACTCCAGTTCCGCTTGCGTTTGCCAGCGGGCATTCTCAAGGGCAGCTGCTCAAGAGCATTTTCAAGTTTCATTTCTTCATCGTGTTGATCTGAATCGCTGTGCAGATCACTATATTTGGCCAAACGCATGTTCGTGCTGTCCGCATCCGAGTCGGTTGCTTCTTCACTTGTCGCCGCTTGAGACTCGCATGTGCTACGCGTAATTACTCCACGTTTGCGTTTGCCAGAAGGCGTTGTCGCAGTCAGCTTACCTATATCATTACAAGACTTAATATCTTCATCATGGGGATCCGATCCCCTGGATAGATAACCATCATTGATGACTAAAGGCCTGTCCATGCTGTCCGTATCCGAATCGTTTGCTTCTTCACTTGACACCGCTTGAGACTCGAATGTGCAATCAAACCAGCCCTTGCTTGAATTTCTACTTCGTTTGCAAACGGACATCCACATATGCGACTGCTCTACATTTGGCAGTTTCAGTTGATCATTGTGGTAATCGGAGTTGCTTTGATTGTCAGCATTTTCTTCACATGGCGCTGACTGAGACTCGGAACTGACACGCGAGTTTCCTTTTTGCATGGATTCGTTAGGAGGCATCGTCTTGACTTTATTGTGGTCATCGAGGTTGCTGCGAAGTTCCACATCATTGATGATTAAGTTGCTCTCCGTGTAGGCCGCATCGAAATCATTTGTTTCACTTGACTCGGATGTGTTGCGCTTGTTGACTTTTCGCCTGCTAATAGCAGCTGGCCTCGGTACAGGGAGCCTCGCTACGGCATTTGGAACTATTACATTTTTCTGGTGATGATCAGAGACGCTGTTAATACCATCATTGGTAACCAATATCCTGTCCATGCTATCCACATTCGAATCGTTAGCTTTTTTATTTGATGCCGGCTGCGACTCGGATTCACAACGTTCGCTTGTTTTTCGCACGCGTTTGCCAACAGGCGCCTGCTCAACAATTGCCAGTTTTATATCTTCCTCGTGGTGTTTGCAGTCGTTGCAAGCATTACACTCATTGAGGACTGAAGGTCTATCCACGCTGTCCACATCTGAATCCAATGCCTCTTCGCTTGTTGTCTTTGGCTGTGACTCGGAGCTGATAGGAGAGCTTTCTTCTTCGCTTGATGCCGGCTGCGACTCACATGTGCTGGGGTTGCTTGCTGTTTGATTGGCCAACTCCGTCGGCAATTCCTCTGCAGCTTTTGGTTGTACTATATCTACAAGATGGTGTTTTTGCAAAAGGCCATCATCGACGTCTAGACTTGTGGAGTCTATGCCGTGCGTATCAAAATCGTTTGCTGCTTCGATCGCTGCTTTCCCTTGCTGACACGTTTCTTCAGTTTTATGTTGCTGTGCTTCTCCATCTTCCGAATCGGAATCACTGCCAAATAAGGACCACAATTGCGCTTTGCTGCATTGATCTCCGACAGCAGCCTGCTCACAATGGACATTTGTGACTGGCGACTGTGGATTATCCCCTTCTGATTCCGATTGACGCTCCTCTGCAGCCAGTTGCACGTCCAGTCTATCGGGTGACTGTGCTGCAGGACTTTGTGAGGCAAACTGCTTACAAACAACCGGTGTGTCCGGCGGCTGTTGATTGTTTGCTGTTGCAGCTGGCAATCGCAGCCATTGACGCTCCTCTGCATTCAATTGAATTTGCAGATTATCACAGTTGATGTTATGGAAAGCATTTAAATTGCTTAGGAAATCTACCGCAGTTTCTGTGGGTGTGCTGGGCTTTGCAATTGCCTCCGGTTGCGGTTGCGGCTTTGGTCGTGAGTAAGGTCTAGCGCGTCGGTTTTGCCTCTTTGGCTTGGTTTTGGGCTTCGGCCTTGCCCTGAACTGAGGTTTGATCGGCAGACGTATCGGTGTTAGGTCTACGCCAATTTCCGGTGGCGGCTCTATTATGGGATCAATGCAAACATCAAGCGGCGCTCGCTCCTCGGGCTCTGTCAGAAAATGGGAGGGTTCTGCAATCAAGTTGTTCAGTTGGTGTCCAAGTGAATTCAATGTTAAGGTCTTACCCCTGTGGTTGCCTTTGCTGCTACATGCCACGTTCTGTGCCTGATGGGTTTCGTATAGCGTATCAAACCAGCTGCGAAAATCGGCTTGGCTAATGGAGCTCGCGGAGCGACTCTGCAGGGCAACGAGCACCATTTGGCCCATCACTTGCCAGACCTCCTCAAAGACTTGGGGCGGCATTTTAGCGAGAACGCTTTGATTGTGCGGCAGAAAGCTAAGCAGCTCCTTGGCCATGTGGTGGCTATTGCCATCAAGAGCAGCTGCATCCGCAGGTATCGCTAACTCGTCCTTGACGCTGTCGTACATAGCCCGCGACGGTGGCCGGGAATCGGAGCGCTTCAGTTGTGCTGGCAGCTGTGGCAGAAAGTCAATCTCACGCTGCACATTGCACAGATCAGTGCAGGTGCCCACACTGATTGTGGGCAACGTTTCGGTTGGCGGTGTTTGATCCCCGATGGGACTGAGCGGTGTTATTGTCCACGAGAGAACCTTATCCAATATTTGATGAGCATTCAGGGCGGGCTTAGGCTCTGGAAAGCACGTGCCCACATCATGCATTTGGATGAACGAGGCCGTCGTAGTTCCGCGCGTTGTTGTTGTGTTTTTGTGCTGTATGCCCTGATCCCGAGTGGTCACAAAACTCTCACTTTGTATGGCTATCGAGCACATTTCTGGCTTGGTGGGTGCAGGAGGCGTTAGTAAAATCGGCAGCGGCTGTGTTTGAGTTGATTGCGATGCAGCTGCCACCCCCTTTGATCGCTTCTTTGTGGGGCTCTTTGGCGCGGGTATAGAAATATTCGCTGACTTGCAGTAGTCCTTCAGCTTGCGCAACATATTATGTTCGGAGCGGGTTAGACCGCTGGCATGAGGATCGCCGACAATGCGCTGCGCCAGCTGCATGAAAATAATGATCATTTCTTTGGCATCAACTGGCAGCCACTTGTTTTTTAGCTCTTCCTGCAAGTGCTCACAGTTTAACTTCTGAACATCCAACTGCTTCTCCAGATCGACGCAGCGCTCGCTGTGCTCAAGTGCACGGCGCTCGAGCTCGATGCGTTGTTGTTTCTCCCGCTGGTATAGCTCGGTTACCTCGCTCGCGGTTCGCTGCATGCCACAGAGCTGCTTCTGTTGTTCCTGCAGCTCCTTCACCTGGCGCACCAGCTCATCGTTGCTAGCAATCAGGTCGGCGACTCGTAGGCGCTTTTTCGTGGACTTCCCATTGGTGGGAAAGCTATTGTTGATTTCATTTTGCGACAGTTCTTGTGGTGTGCTTAATAGAAAATCGAACTCCTCGAAATCCAAATTCTCAGGCATGGCCGTATTCCGTTTTGTTGTTTTTGGTTTCACGTGTTTTTCTGTGAGCGGTAAACGTTTATGTGCTTTGGCAGGGCGCGTGCGGTTTACCGAACAAACGCAATTATATTAAAACGAGTAGGGTGCATATTAAATACTTCAATTCCATGAACAAGCATTCTAACAATACGCTTTGGGCATAAATGTTAAAATTACGAGAAAAAACAACATAAAATTAGCGCGTTTCACGACCGGCAAGGAACTAACAACATTAACACTGTGAATGGCAAAGAGTGTGACCGTAACAAACACATTTTTTTGGACTCATTTACGTTACAGTAAGAAATCGAAGCAGTCTTTATAATTAAAATATATGTATACATACTCTTAGGCTACACAATACAATTTGAATTATTACAGTAAACATATCAAGAGCAAATCTTATATTTTTCTCAAAAATTTTGGATTGTATATTACCTTCAAAAGAGCAAAAGTTGGCAGTCCTCAGAATTTGCAACCAACTTCACGTTTTTTTCAGGGCTACTGTAGCACATTAAAATATTGTGGTATTCTCTACGTCTTGCGAAGGTACGTAACTGTGGCATTCGGCCCGAAAATTACATAATTGTTCATATTTTGCAAATTAATCAAATACACAGTAACCAAATCACAACCATGGCCGACAAAGCTGCTGCTGAAAAACCCGTTGGACGTCCAATGAAATATCCATACACTTTCTCGGCTAAATTGGCCCAGTTCCCAATCAAGCATTATATTAAGAATCAGTGGATCTGGCGCTATTACTTTATTTCAGTGGTTGCTTGTATTCCTGTCTTCTACAAGATCAGCAAGTTGGGTAAGTGGCCATCCTAAGAATCTTGAATTGGTTTGCACGTGTTTCTAAAATTTGTTATTATTGCAGCCAACTCGCCCGAAAACAAGAAGGCCTGGGCTGAAAGCCAAGCGAAGGAGGCTGCCTCGCACCATTGATTTGCTAAGCTATGCGGTGCTGTCATTGATTTAGTTGTTTAAAGTTGCATCTATATACATTTCAAAGCTGCATCAGTTGGCTTAACATGAATATTGATTGGTGAATAAATGATTTAAAGCGGACATGACTTTACATTCATTAAATAAATAGGAAAATATAACCTGCTATTTTGTTCGGCAGACATTCACTTTAACGTCGACGACTTTTTGCCATTCACATTTTGTCGTAGAGGGCTGCAATTATTTTTATTTGAAAGGCATTTATGACTTAGTGTGGCAACGTTTAGCAACCAGCTGGTAGAAAATTGCCATCGTGAGCAAAGTTTGTAAAGTTGTATTACAACAAATTCATTAACAAGGTAAATAAAAATGGGTCATCGAACATAGACCCCTTATTGTAATGTTTTAAGGTCCCTTCAACACTAAACTGCCCAAGCTTTTGTCTTTTCAAGCCAACAAAATGGTTATGACGAGCGAACAGGTACATATGTAGCCTCAATAACTTTTGTACAGTTTGAAATATAAGTTGTTTAATTTGGCATGTTTATCTAATAAATCTTACTTGCCCCCAATAATACTCAGTGTGTGCTTTCAACAGAACTCATCGACTTCTGCAGCGAACAAGCAGAAGAAGCAACGGCTACGCAATCGGCCCAGAAACAAACGCAACCGATTGGAAGATAACGAGGCTCAGCCACGCAGCGACAGTGCAATGCAAAAATCTAACAGTAATCCACAGCAGAATGCAGCGGCGGATAAGACCCGCGAGCAGGTGATGGCCGAGCGAGAGGCTAAAAAGCAAGCGAAGCAGGCCAAGAAGCAGAAGCCCAACACGCCAGCCACAACAATCATAACACAAGTAGAGCAAACGACCATCACAAAAAAGCTAACAACCACAACCACAACAACGACGAAAGAACAAAACCAACTCCAGCTAGCAGCAGCCGCTTCCGCGCCCTTAACTGATGCCACCGTCACAAGTAACGCAGTTCAGGTCACAGCACAAAACTCAACAGATTCCTTGACCAACGTTGCGGAAGCTGGCGAAAAAACGCGCGAGCAAATCAAAGCGGAACGTGAGGCGAAAAAGGCCGCCAAACATGCTGCAAAGTCCAACAAGGCCAACAACGTGGATGCAGTGGCTCAGCAATTAAACCACGTGCAACTCACTCCTAAGGCGGCAGTTACCGAAACTGCTGCAGCGGGAGCAGCAGATCTAGACAAGGTAAGAAAATTGATTCCTATCCGATTCACATGTTACGAAGCTGCTTTAATCAGCCTTACATATATATATGCTGATTATTACAGCGACCTTTTGCCATCAGGCTAATGCAATAACAATCCAATACCCGTTGTATTAGCTTTTGAAATCTTCATAACCAGACAATCGTATCACTATTCACTTAAGTTGCTGCCAACTTACTCCTAATCCGATCCTAATTGACTTGCAGAAAAAACCAGCGCTAAGCAAGGCGGAGCGTCGTGCGATACAGGAGGCGCAACGCGCGGCCAAGGCACAGGGACAAAACAAAAAGGGGACACCAACGCCCGGTGTAGCTAAAGCCGCGGCAAGCAGCGTTAAGGCGACGCCTATTGTGAGTGCAACGCCTGTTAAGGAGCCCAAACGAGAGAGTGAATCACCCGCCAAGTCGCCGTCAAAGCCAACAACGCAGAAAGCAGAACGAGAGTGGAATGTGAAGCTGTTCAATCATTTGGTGAGCGCTGACAAAGACGCTAGCTTATTCATAAACGATGCCAGTGTGCATCCCAGCATTGCTCGGCTGGGTGTCCAGTATTCCCAGCGTACTATTGTTGGCTCCAATGCGCGCTGTATCGCTTTCCTGCATGCGCTGCGGCAGGTGGTGCAGGACTTTGAGACGCCCGCGAAGAAAGAGTTTGGACGCAGTCTCGATGCCGCAGTCAAGCATCATGTCGAACATCTGCACAAGTGCCGACCGCTGGCCGTGTCCGTATCCAATGCCTATAAGCAGTTTAAGAACCAGTTGACGCAGCTGCCGGACAAACCGGAAACGGAGGTAAGCGCAGCTTGCAAAAATTCCAATCACAGCCGATTGCATTTGTTATCTATTGCAGTTAAAGGAGCTACTCGGACACTTTATAGACACCTACATTGAGAATCAGATTGGCAAGGCTGCGCAGGCCATCAGCAGCTCCATGCAGGAGAAGATTACAGACGGCGATGTGCTGCTCACTTTTGCCTGTTCCTCGCTCATACAGTTTATCTGCGAGGAGGCCAAACGCCGCCAGGTGTCCTTTCGTGTCATTGTTGTAGATTCGTTGCCTTTTTGTGAGGGACAGGAGATGCTGCGCCGACTTCACGCCTGCGGCATACCCTGCACCTATGTGCTGATCAACGCCATCAGCTATGTGATGCCGGAGGCCACCAAAGTGATGCTGGGAGCGCATGCACTGCTAGCCAATGGATATGTTATGGCTCGAACGGGCACCGCCCAAGTGGCGCTCGTAGCTAACTCCCATAATGTTCCTGTGCTCGTCTGCTGTGAGACGCACAAGTTCAGCGAGCGTTTCCAAACTGATGCTATAGTCTATAACGAACTGTGCGATCCCAATCAACTGGTGAAGGGCGCCAAGTGCTGTCTCCATAACTGGCAAACCAAGAGCCGGCTAACGCCGCTCAATTTGAGCTACGATATAACGCCTCCCGAACTGGTCAGTGCCGTTGTCACCGAGGTGGCCATTCTGCCCTGCACCAGCGTGCCCGTCATTCTGCGTATTAAACCAGATATTGGCTATTAGAGCTTCACATCTTGTTGCTTTCTTTATCACGAAGTCGACAAAAGAATTGTATAATTTATTGAGAAATTAAAATCCGTGTCTCGAGTCAGTGCGGCATTTGTTGAATAAATAATCCTTTTTATTATACTTTTGATCAAACATTTTTGCATAGTACCATTTACGGCTTGTAAAGCAGATAAATTGTCTGACAGCTTGTGTAGTACACGTTACGATAGTTTTCTCTCTAATATTTAACTGTATCCATGCAATTGTACGCTAGTATATTTAAGTATACATATGTATGTATTAATATGTAAGCAATTGTACTTCTTAATTGTGTGAGATAAATGAGGCAAGAACAGACCGCTCCAAATTTCGCACACTATCTCACAGTAAAATAGGCAGAAATATTTGAGCCTGTAGAAAATACGTTGATAGTTCAAACTATTAAAGAACAAATGTAGATCTGGAATGCTGTCTGAATAGAGATTCTGTAACATTAAGATATAGTTTTTGATTTTGTTAGTCGTACTAAAAAAAAGTGTAATACGTAAATGCCAGCCAAGGCTGCAGATTGAGTCAATCCCTTTGAAATATGAACTATATTTGGGAATTTCCACTTTTGGAACAGGTCTGACACCTAGAAATTTCAAAATCAACAACATAAAATAGTTTTGTGCCCGACTCGGCACATTTTTGGTGCACGGCTAGTTTAGAATGTTTTTTGATTTGCGCGCAATAACTCGAATTTCGAGGGTGCTTTTAAGTAGCTACAACTACAAATGCAACAATAAATATATTATAATAATATGTATATATATATGTATATCTGTGTTAGTATGTGTATATGTATAGTATGCCACAAAAACGCACCCGAAACAAATACGTCCACTCTCTTGCACGCTGTCCACATTCACTCATCGTCACATGCTCAACAATTTATAACTAGGATTATGCTAGAACTGGGCTTATGGACTCTGCTTTTGCATCTGTCGGTAGCAGCCACGACAAACGGGCACCGCCTTGCCGCTATCGTGTCCAGGCAACGCCACGTTCTTATCAATGCAACGCTCACAGAAGATCTCGCCGCAACGCCAGCAATGTGTCTGCGGATTGGAAGGCACGTGAATTTAATGAACTTTTGCTGATGCAGTGGATGCTACTCACCTTCTTGCTGAACTGATCGAAGGGAGTGGAGCAGGAGCAGGTGGTTACGTTTCGCATGGACTTCCAATCAAGGGCCACGGAAGAGATTTCCTCGGTCAAAGTCTGGGTGTTCGCCTGTTCGGCATTTAACGAGAGATTGGCAAATGACATGTTGCTCGCCTTAAGCGGATGATCATCATCAGCGGCGGACAATTCGCTTAGCTTCTTGTCATAATTGTATCTGCAAGGCATAATTAATATGATTAGACATTAACAAAAATACAGGATTCAATGTTTCTGGCTACTTGTTGTCATTGATCTCGTTGGTGGCCGCCTCCTTGGTAGCTTTTGTGGAGGTTGTGGTGGTGGCATCCTGCAGCTTCTTGGCCGACTTGGAAATGTAGTTTTTGAAACTGGCAATGCGTTTCGTCAAGTGCTGCACATGATCCTCCAGGGAGTTACAGTGCTCCTTGCTGTCCAGCAGCAAATCACCCAATGGCTCGCGTGGGTGTATGCCGCTCTCAAAGCGGCTGTACATGCCACGCCAGAACCTATGGAACACACAAATTAGGTATTTTTTAGGCTTCAATCAATTGAACGCTATCTCACTTGATGCACTGTGGCGCCAGGTTGGCTTTGATCGACTCGTCTATGTTGGGTTTGTACAGCGGATTTATGTACTCGTTCAGGTGGTTGGCCATGTAGCCCCACAGCGAGAATGTGCGCTCGGCTAGCTTCAGGTCCAGGCGATCCTTCTCGCAATTGCCCACAAAAGTGCCGAACTGACACGAGTGCACATGGTCATGGAGTATGAGCAGAAAGCGTTCATTGAATTCAAAGGATTCGCTGCGCTGCGACATCAGCTGCCAGGTGCAGTCCAGGAACTGCGTAAAGATGGGCGACACCTCGCGCGCATCCGTTTGTATGTGGCCGCAGCGTTCGCTGAACTTGTGCCCAAACGCCAGCCAGTCCTTCTCGATGAGCGCCTGAAAGCCCTTAATTGTGCGATAGTAAGGATTCAACATGAGCTGCGCCAGCGAACACACTTGAGCAGTGCGATCCCAGCCATCCGAGCAGTGTACAACCACGGAGACGCCCTTGTCGACGGCGTTGGCAATGAAGCTGCAAAGGAAAATTAAGAGAATGAACTTCAATTAATTGAATAAATAATAAGTGAAAGCATGCCCTAATAAAGGTCACTTGAATGTAATACATTTGCATTTTCTTGTGAGCTGATGTAATATTTTTGCTGTGGGTTAAGGTGCCTAAGTGGCAGGCAAACAAAAGAAGAACAAATTATATTAAATTGTTGAGTATTTACATACCTCGATGTGTCCAATATGGAGCGAATGTGTTTTAGCCAGCCGGATGACTCTAGGGCATTCAGAAATGCGCTCATTGTGGGTGATTTCTGTTCGCAAGCCTCCAGCACCTTTTGTAGGCTGGCGCGCTGTACGTGAATGTTCTCAATGCCAAGGAAATGGAACTTGATGTTCTCGTAAAAGGCCTCGTTCTCATAGCCCTTGCCGGCGGCACGATTGGCCATGGCATTGATCTACAAACAAGAGGGGTCACAATCGGCTTGTTATTTACATATTGTTTTATATGCATTTGTTGTACTTACGCGCGGTCGCGTATCCACAACGAACATGTAATCGGTATTGGGATTGGTTTTGCGTATGGCCTCCAGCATTTGCTCGTCCTCGAGACAACGGGCACTGAAGCCCGACAATGGCTGACTGCAGCGGCATATGGACGCCTGTTGATAAAAGTTATTGCACATTTATTTGCATAGCTTCAGATGAGATTCGCAAGATTTTCAGTCACCTTATTGTTGTGCAAATAGGTCAAAGCGGGCAGCCGACCCTTGGAACGAAAACGTGAGCTGCTTATGAGCATCAATGTGGTGGCCTCCTTGGGCACATAGATCTGACGCGGATACGTGTCGCACAGTTCGTACTTTTCGTTCATGGAGCACAGCGTCCAGTTGTCGTTGGGCACCAGCATGTGCTTAAACTCTGCCTCCAATTTGAAAAAGTCCCAGCCAGCATTTTTGGGGTAATCATCCTTGGCCGGCTGATAGTTGAAGCAGTATAACTTGTTGATGGAGACTACGAGATACGAATTGTTAAGACTAGACATCTAAACAAACTATTGTGGTGCTGCTTACCCGGCTGAAAGAGTTTGATTAGCGAAGTATAAACATCATGGCACTCGGAGTCCTTGGGTATGACAAATGTCACCGACAGAAAGGTTTTGCAGCGTATCAAGAGCGGCGAGCCGGTTGTGCTAAGCGGCAGCTTCTCAATGCTGGCAATGTGCATGTGCAGAATCTGTAATGAGCAATGGTAAAGGCAAGATAGTTAATAAACAGCCACTCAATAGACAATCTCCACACTCTAATCACTCAACTTTGAGCGGCACCCAGTTAATACCATATTTGCCCGCAGGTCAGGCACTGAAACTTTTATAAAGTGTCGCTCAGTCTCTGCACGAGCCAGAAAATCGATTTTAAGCCTTCTCAGCTCATAATTGGCAGCTGGCTCGACACACGAGTGCCCTAACTTTTAATTACGAACATGAAAGACTCAACGTAACGTTAATCTGCTCATTTGCTGCGTTCTCTTGCGGCCACTTGTCGCGCCGTTGCAAAGTGCATAATTGATATAATTATGGTGAGGCAATTAAAATCGCAGTGCCTGAATGCACACAGAACCACACATCAACCAAAAAATAAATCAAACAGTAATTAGTAGTTAAATCAAACATGTATTAAATAACTGCGCAACTTAAATATGCACATATTCTGCGTTGGTTTTGCATACAAATTGAATCATACTGAAGCAGAGTAAAGCAGCTCATTTTAATAGAGATAGAATGCCGCATGTTGGATTTTTTTCTTATACGTATATGCATATTAATGAATTTATATAATTTATATAGTTATGCTTATGCATTTATATATATTTACTTAAGGTTGTTTATATTGACTGTATATTCAACACATTTAAGTATTCACGTAATCTTTCTCTCAACCCAAGACGGAATTTGCAAAAATTAGACAGAGAAGCGTGGAAAATGAGTGAAAAGCTATTTATTTCGAACGTCGTTTTAAAATCTTGACAGCTTTTGAGATTTTCCCGTTAAGCATGTATTTTTTATATCTTCGTCTCCAACTTTAACACTCTCTTCTAATACTAACTATCCACAAGTGTGCAAATTTAATAGCGGAAAATATGTGGAATCAATTTCACACCAGTTCTTAAGATTATTTAAACTGACTTTCAATTTTTTACGCAAAGTTGAATGTAAAATAAACTCTTCATTTTTAAGATTCTTAATACTGAACTCACAAGTGTGAAAAATTAAAGAGGGAAATACCTGTTCCAGGTAAAACTTGTTTATAGAAGCTAGAATTGCATAAATATATTTAGAAGTGAAATTTATGTGAATTTTGTAAGATTATATACACTACTGTTAATTTCGTATTGCATTAAAATGATTTTTACTTAAACTGGTAAACTTTGAATAAAATATAAAATTTTAATTAAAGCTTGAAATTTTGTATTTTTGTGCTGCACACATTCACATTCACACGCATGAAGTCATAGACTCGACTCGTCTTCGTATCCTTTTGTCGCTGGGACAGCTAGTTTTGTATGAATGGAAATGGAAATGCAGTCGCTTAGCAGCAATTTGTTTGCTTCTGTCAGTCGATCAGTCAGGCAATCAGTCACTCAGTCAGTCAGTCCGTCAGTCCCCGAGCACATTTGGAATATTGGCAGTGAATTTGTGTTGTATTTTCAATGTTTCTCTTGCGCTTTGTGAGTGTTTTCCTGTTGTTCTTGTATTTGCTATGGCTTAACACGAAATGAATGCATGTTTTGTGCTGGAAATAATAAACGCCCACACAAACAAACACAGCGGCGCACAGCGGGCACGCCGACAACGTATTTTAATTTGTATTTGTGCAATGGGGCGTATGCGCAAACCGCGTGCGCCTGTTGTGTGTAGTTGTGTGGGTGGGCCTAGTTCTGTTAAGCGAACCAAAGACAAACACATTTTAATTAAGCTTAAGCTCTGTTGGTTTTTAAAGCCGACAAAAACTTTAGCAAGCACAAGTTTTAAGCAGCCTTGGGGGCACCTGCTAAGAAAAGAAACTTTACACGCACACTTCTTCAGCCAAGTGGCCGGAAGTGCGGGCAATGCAGCTGTCAGAGAGGCACACAAACACGCACACACACACACACACATGTACATGTACATGTACATGCTATGCGTAGGCGAATGTGTATTTGCAGAAGCACCAGCACTTTTTGTATTATGACGAATGCCAGACCCAGGCAGCCTTTAAGCTGCCAGGTATCTGCTTCTGCTCCAATGTTTAACAAGCGAGGTCAAAAGGTTGGACGCCAAGTGCAGATTTAAACACGTTCGTCGTTTCTGACGGTAGCTGCTTGTGTGTTAAATACTTTTTTCGTTAGCTAAATAAACATATATTTTATCAGCTCTGGTAATTTTTCTTTTTGGTTTTAAGTAAATTCACAGGTTTCTTTGGCTACAAAAATATAATATTATTTGATTTTCTATTAAAGTTGTTTGCATAAGAAACACAAGACAGAGTATAATAAAAGTTATACAGGTAGAAAGTTATATGTGTAAATATCTGAAGTTTAAAAGTATATGAAATATTAAAAATGTTCTGAATACAAGTTAAATTCAAAGAATTTCTTCCCAAACCAAAATTATTGCAATTTACATTTCCTTTAAGATCTTTCTTTATCAATCCCTGATATTCATATAAGCTGTGCATAATTCTGAATTGTGCCCTGAATTATTCCAGGATGTATGAATTATTTTAAGAGTCTAGTAGCTAGTTGCAATTACTTTTTTATTCGCAATAAAACGACTGCATGCAATTCATAAATAAGTCATAAGTTGGGGTACTTTCGATAGGGGTACGAAGTACAATATTGTTGCCTTTACAATATTAAAAATGAATAAATTCATAACGTCATGATTTATGTGGTAAGCAGAAGGGATAGCAACATGTTTGCGGCATGCTACAGCAACAACAAAACGAAACGTGGCATGCCTCTGCGGTCTACTATATTTCCGTAACATACTTTTGCGGTTGGTCGAGGACTGGCACACACAGCCAGAAGGGAGGCGTGGCGACCGCCCAAAAGTCAACCCAGAAAAAGGTTGTTTGCAAAGAAATTGCACAAAACTTTTTAGCTTGAACTTGACGAGGTCCACAAGGAGCTTAAGGCGCACTCGAACCGGGTGGCTCATCGAATAATTGATGATGTCATAGCGGGGGGCGTGGGGAGTGCTTGCGGGCTTTCCACTTACCCAGGTCTCCTTATTGCTGTCGGGCTCCACGAATATCAGATGCGTGGCCGTCAGATACAAAGTGCCAACTGTAGGATTTTTAGTGTTGTAGCGATCAATCATGCGCACATTTTCCACCTGTTAAATAAAGCCCAAGAATGGTATTAATTTTTCTAGCACTACAAGTTATAAGCTCTTCAGCAAATATTTTCTATGTATATATATATAGTTTGCAATAATTTTCCAGCTCCTTTGGCTCCCTTTAGCTGCTTCTGTGCAGAGCTCGCTCGCTGACGTCAGCTGTAAAAGCACCCCACAATTTGCACTATACCGTTGCAGCCACACAAACAAGCAAGCCACCCACACACTCACACACACTCACACACACACACACACACACAAGCAAACGGAAGCCCAAAACTGTGTGTAAATAATATAAAATGGGGGAAAGCAATTTTATTGTCTTACCGTTGAGAGCAAAAGTTCGCCTTGAACAAATATAGTTAAGCAACTTTCAATTACCTAGGCTTCAACTATTTTATTACAACATAATAAATAATATTCATGTTGGACAAACTGGTATAAAATAACACAAAATATGGGCTTTCATTACGCTTGATAGCTTCCTAGCTCTCTCTTTATGTAAATAATTGTATATTTTCTATAAAAATAATCATCGAACATATTTTAAATAGTCCTTAACATAACCGTCTCATGATTATAAATTGACCTTAGCTTTAAATGGCTTTCGGGTTGCCAGATCTTAAAAAAAATTAACATTGTATTTATAAGAAATGCGGCAACACTCTTCTTCTGACTATATGAAAAATGTGCATGTTGATGGTATCTCAGGAAGCTTACATTTTATCAAAAAAAACAAGAGAACAATGCAAGTCAGCAAATCACAATTTGTATCAACAATATTCTTTATTCCCTATTCTGTGGCCAATGCAATCTAGCCCCATATTGAATTGTAAATAAAAGAGGAGACAAATTGAATAGCCGAGATTTGTGTGTGACATTAACTGAATTTCCCCAGTGAAGGAGTAAACGCAAAGCATAAATAAATGCAACATCTGCGACGACTTTTAGATTGATTACAATTCAAAGCAATATGCTGGCTATAATCGACTATACTATTCAATTTGCGAATTGACCGCATTGACGCCGTTTCACTGAGTACGAATAAGTCCATTAGAATGAATTGAATACAAAGAACAAGGCTGACTCAGGTGAATTTCTCTATAAAAGGTCGACAGTTTCTTTGTGCTCTGGCAGCCAACAAGTTCGCTATCATCGCTTAATTGGCTTTCTTAATATATATATATTATATACATATATACTCGAGAAAAAACTCTATAAAATGTTTTAATGAAGGAGAAAGAACTCAACGGCTTTAAATATTTCCCTAAACTTAGACTCTGATGTTACCAAAATAAACAAAACAAATGGGTTTAGTTATAAAATGCCTATTACAAGAATTTGCATGCTTGAAACATTCTTAATGAATTTATGGAATGCTGCACTTGAGTCTTGTGGAACTTGGCTACTAGAAAAAGTTCTTTAAATAAGAATATCATATTCAGGTTAAGAAATTTCTGCAATTTACTCGATTTCTTTGCTCAGAACAGCTTCAAAAGGTCGCAAACCGCAAAGTGAAAACCTCAAAAGGGATTATTTTACATAAATGTCGGTCTTTTGTGCGCTTTATGCAGCTTGATTAGAATTCATTGCAGTGCACTGAAACCAAATTTATTTAATTGCCAAGTCAGGCAGCTGGAATCTTGTGGCACGTGCAACAAGACAACAATTTGTTTTTCAAATTTTCCGACAGGCATTTTGCGGCGGTTGAGAATGAAAGGAACGCAATGGCCCGAGGATGAGGATGAATGGCCCTGGGAGCACCGATAAGGTCCTGATAGGCGACCTACATAAAATATATATGTGCGAGAGTTTTGCCTCCTAGCCCGGCCAAAGTCAAGGAACTCGACGCATTGCCGGGTAAGCTCGCAATTTGCATATTCCGGCCGAGAGCTGCCGGCAAAAGAAAAATAAGCTGGATTTCTGTTGATTACTTTGTTGCATATTTGCCTAATGACACAAAGGAAATTAGTTTGGAGCTAGCCGGGCTGTTGGGTTACCTTTTTTAGGACACAGTTGCCGTTGTAGTAAACGGGCGCCTCGTTGAACTCCTCCTCGATCCAGGAGACGACCTTATCGGAGACAAATGGCGGCACTGGCACACCCCACAGCCGCTTGCCATCGGGCGGCTCCTCGCTCTCCGGCGATATATTATCAAAGCTCAGACGCAGCGCCGATGTGGGCGAAAGTTGGCGTTCGATTTCGTTGAATTTATTCATGAATCTTGTAAAATCCATTGTCACACACGCACTGCCAAAAAAAAAATAATGCAGATACTGTTTGCGCTGGGTAAACGTTTTATTGATTTTAAATCAACAACAACAAAAACACCAGGAGCAGCCACCCAAGCAGCCTTTTGGCTTGGCTTTTAAATCAAATCACGTGAATCGGGGAGAAGGGCGGCGGGGCGCTGCGTCGTTTATATTACTTTCACTTTTTTGCCCAGCACACAAGCCCGAGTACGCTACTTATTTGTCTAACCCGACATATTTATTTATGTGTGTGTATTAATATATATATGTGCCACTTTGTTATTGCTGCCACTGCCACTGATACTGCTGTCCCATGGACGGCTGTGTGTGCGTGTGTGTGTCAGTGTGCCGCGCAACGTCCGGATAACCGTTTCCAACGAAAACTCTGTGACGACTGCGAAAGGCGCGCGCTTAAAAGCATGCTACGAGCGCGCTTTTGCACATTTCTGTTGGGGAAATTCTTGCAAAATGGGAAATTTTCTGCCACATTGCTGGACGCCTTCAAATAAATAGGGACCATTTTAATACCCTAGGTTAAGGACACACGAGCATATGAAGGGCGAGTTCAGTATTTCTAACGGGTTTAATACCCAATTGCTTTACGTCATTCTACTGTTAAATAATTTTAGGTTTGTTTTGAGTACAGAAAGCGGAATAAATGGTTAAATCGTATTGGATATTAGAAATATTTCGATATAAATACTTTAATGAATCTATTTAGGCTATCGATGGTGTCTAGTGTTTTAACTTTTTCCCCAAATCGATAAATATAATAAAGTTGTAGTAAATATAGTACTTGTTATTACTCAGCATATGCTCCTCGTTAATTTAAATCGATAGAGACACTTTTATAAAGAATTTGGTAAGAATACGCGCAACGAGTATAGGGCATATTCCAGTCGAGAATCGTTGAACAAGTAAGTTTAACGATATTCCCATTTTAATTATCGCCAACGTCAATTTTCGACTTTGCAAGTTTTAAACTGCACTTAACTCTCTTATAATTGTCAGCAAACTTATATCAATCTTTATGATTGAAAGAAGAAGAAGAAAGAAAAAGGAGAAGTAATCTCAAACTTAGTTTTATGTGAATTGACCCAACTTTCAGCTAAACATAATTCAATATTAAGGCAAGGCTGCTTAACAGGTTTGAATCGAACCAAACCAGTTGTCCAAGAACCGAGCCGAACCAGGTTCACGAACCGAACATCAAGGCAACAAGTCAGTTCGAACAATAAACTTAACCACCATACATTTTATTTGGGGTATGCAGCCCTGATTTACTTAATATTTCAATTAATTCATACTTAGTTTACGTAATATTTTTTTTATTGATAAGTTATGGTAAATATCGCTAGTGCGATTGTTTAATAAAAAGGGCGTTGAGGCCGCCAGAAAAACGGTAGCAAGTTCTTAGCAAAGTGCGATAAGGTAGTCGCAATCCCACTCAAATACATACATACATACGTATATGTAAACGTACGTATATACTTACGTTACAAATAAACGTAATTACTTACACTCGGTCGCGTAGTTGTCGTAAAAATTGTATAAACATAACTGTTGACTGCAAACGGGGTTTGTTTGCGACCACACAGTTCCCGCTTATGCGCATGATTTACAGCTATGTTTATGTACATATGTTATGAACAGGTGTAGGCGCCGTTGGCTGGAACGCCACTTGGCCAACGCGACTGCCTCGTCCTTGGCCCCACCTAGCTTTTAGGTGGGGCAAGGGTTGGCGTTGCCCCCTGCCGGGTCATATATGCGCGTTTGTTGTTACTGTTTTTAGCACAGGAAAGGGTTTTACCTGGCCATCGATTTTGAATAAAACATAAAAGCTTCCAAGTGCATGACTCACAGCTGGCGCCAGGATAGGTGCGCAAAATTGATAAATGGCTTACAACAGGCATAATCTACATGCTTAGCAAATTCCGCTCTTTATTAAACTACATATTTACATACCTTTGCCAGCTTGATATCGTCCATTGTTTACGTTTTTTGATGGTTACACTATTAACTGGCTGCTTTACACACTTTACGGTCGCGCAACGGCTCGCGTTTCCACTCGCGCGGCAAATTTGATCAATTATTCACGCACTAATTAATTTAGATTTAATATATTTGCCAGAAACATATTGCAGTTTATAATAGTTATAAATTAAGATTGTTGATATTGTATCGATATTGCCGATTCATAATTTTCGATACGATACTATTGTTTAGGCTGTGCCCAAGAGAGTGGCGGCTGGGCGATAGACAGTGGTCGTTCTTAACTCTAGTGTTGCCACACTGAGTGCAGAAGTTCTGTGGGCGATGCAGCTGTCTGGCAACGGTCAATGTCGTTAATTTAAATTTGAATGATGCTAAGATTCATTTAATAAAGTCAACAAATATCGCACAAGCTATACAAATGGATTCACGTTATTTCAACTATATAACAATAAGTGCACTTTCTGTTGAGTGGGGTTCATTTCGAGTGTGTGAATAAATAACTCATTTACGCAAACCCACGTATTTGGTCCAAACACCTTTGTTATCAAAGTAGGGCTTGTTGCGCGAACAAATAATCGCTTCTTTAAAAATGGCAGCATATGCTAGCGGTATTGACGCATGCTTATAAAGATTATAAAGAAATTCATAAATCTGAAATGAGCACAAAATTAAAAACAATATTAAGGGGATACATGGGTTAAAATCTTGCCTTTGCCTCCTGATCCTTCCAAAATATGTGATCACATAGAAACTGCAAGCTCTCAGGGAATAATGCAAATCGTTCCTTGCCATCTGTGGCCACGACATCCACACTGCCCAGCAGTACGGCACAGCCGGACAACACATCCACTGCCAGTATAAAAATGTCCAGCAAATATAGCGCTCTGTTCAATTTCTCTTTGTTGGAAGCCTCGGCGAGCAGCATTTGAATCTCCAAAAAGATTTCCATTGTCCAGTTGCACGCATGCTCATCGCTGCCAAAGGCGTACAGTGTAGTCGCCAGATGGCGATAGAAGAAGGGGCGTTCCTCCGCACGGCGTTCGTAGGCGTCGATAATGGGCGTTAGCCATTTTAAAGGGTTCGGCAGCTTTTCATTATATAGCACCAGATAGCAGCGGATTATGGTTGCCTTCTTAAGTTTACCCGCCGGTGTTTCCCACCAATTCGCTGGCGTGGTTAACCCATCGATGGCATTGGGATGCAGCACAGAGACCACTTCGGTGTAACGCTCAAACAATCTTGAATCCAAGTTCATGGAGTCCATATAACGCTCCACTATAAGCGTGAATACGTCCAGCACCTCCGGTATCTCACATTTGTCGGTGTATATGTACCTTACGCTGTCCAGGAACTTTTCAAATAGGCAACCTGGAAAGCACACTTTAGTCGCGGGCACTGAATGCAATTATGGGTCATAGGCTTACCCTCCGCAAAGTCGTTTAGCTGCGATTCCTTGAAACAGTATACAGCTACTTTTTCGGCAAAGTTCTTCAGTATTTGCAAGCTCACGCTGTTGCCAATCTCAGGCAGCAGGGAGAACAATAGCAGCAGATCCTCCTCAAAGCAATTGGGTTCAAAATCGGCTAGGAAATTTTCTAGCAGCCGTCGGGCAGTGCCGCTGTGCAGCGCCTGGTTTTTGGCTATCATGATGCAGTATTTGCGAGCATCAAACGACAGGTGAAAAAAGCTGGTTAGGCAGCTCCAGTCCATCGGTGGTATCGGCTTGGCGAATCGTTTGGAGAGTGCACGCAGAGCATAGGTGACGGCATAGGGTTCTGGCACATAGTCGCCAAAACGAGACTGATTCACCAGATAATTGCTGACAGCACGCAGCGGACTGGTGGCAAAGAGACCTGCCAGCTTGCGTGGCTCCGGTTTGCCCTCGGGCAGACGATAGACGCCGCTGCGAAAGCCGCTGATCTCATTGCCAATATAATGGGCCACCAGATCAGCAGCCGCATCGCCGCACTCGGGGCGTATCTTTTGCAATAGCTGCACCCATACTTCGCCTGGAATGGACTGCTGCTGCTGCTGCAAATTGATCACCTCACGTGCTCCTGTAGCCACACCCACAGCGCTCACTCCGGTTATTTCGAAGCGAAATTGCGGCGGTATGTGGCGCAGGCACAGCGTGTTGCCTGGCTCATAACTCTTGAGCGCAACAAGTGCATTTCGCACCTGTGTAGCGTCTGTGTTCGGGCGGCTAACTGCCTGCCACAGCTGCTCCAGTGCATCATCCGCCAGCTTCTCGTACTCCAGCGTCGGTGTTTGCAGCAGCGGCACCAGTCCAAACAGGTGATAAAGCGACTTCAGCGTCTGGGGACGCTGTTCACTACGAAACTTGCTACCCAGCGCCTGCCATGTGGACGCAATGTTTACGGTGTGGCTGTCGCACAACGCATAAATGGCGTCCAACGCCAGCGACGTGGCTAAGTCGCCCGATTCATCGGTGCAGCTGTTCAGCGTGTTGCTCAAATGTGGCAGCAGCTCCGAGCCATGCAGCGTGGGTCTGCAAGATATACACAAGTAATTAGAGCTCAGATAACCGAAAGCTTTGTAAAGATATTAGTTACTTTTCCTGGCAGATTTCGCGCATTGCATGAGTTCGTGCTATTTCCATCTCCCAGCGTTTATCGTTGTCCGGCAACGGCTGTGCGATTTGCTTCAACAGAAAGGGATAGGTGCGCGTTTCTACGCGCCACAGTCGCAAATACAAATCCACACAGAAGGTGGCATTGTCAGTTGATAGATTCCGAATGGTGTTCAGTATCATGGGCACATTATCCTGGCGAAAGGCAACAGATTAGTTCAGTTCAAGTAATATGGCAAATGTATGTACCTTGGACACTGCAAAGCTCGCCAGGCCGCGCAGCAGCTCCAGTTGCAGCTCCGGATTGTGTTCGTGGGCGAGCTTGAAAATGTACGTCATGAGGAAATCGTAGGCGATGGTCTCGTTAACCTTGATGATCTGTAATATGACCTCGTAGATCTTGAACCAGCAGTCGACGGGCGGTTCGCGAGACAGGAAAAGCGCGCGCAGAAACAAATGCAGTCGCTGGCAAAAGGCCGTATTGGCCTTCACATTCAGAGCGTCGACGAAGGCAAACACGTCCTTGTTGTCAGCAACATCAAAGGACTCTACCAGATTGGCCAGATCGAAGGCAATAGCTATGTCCGGATGATAGTTTCGCATATGCGCTGGCTGCAGCTCCTTGGTGCAGATGCGCGTCGCAAATTCTACTTTCCCATCCTCTTGCGGCTTTTGCTGCTCCAGCACGCGCTGCACAATTTGATTGGCTAGCGCCAGGCCTTCTGCGGGTATGAATGCAGTCTGAGACATCCACTGAATGATGCCGTCCAGACACATGTTCAGAATGTATTCATGGCCACAGCGCTCCTGCACCACCACAAACACAATAATGCGCAGCAGATCAGCCAGGTAGAAGGGCGACAGCACGTGCAGGCATTCGGCGAGCAGCACTAGCAGCACATGGTAGTGATGTCGCGTGTGCTCCCGCGTGGCATGCAACACACGCAACAGGCACTGCAGGCTGGGACGCGGATCGATGCCAAAGTGGGCCAGCTGCTTGATGAGCTGCGCTTGGTAAATGCACAGATCGATGGACTGGGCATGGTCCGCCTGCTGCAGGAAGTAGTCGATGGCCTCGATGACTAGAATGCTGGTGCATCGGCAGGTGCTCGCATTGTTGAACTTGCTCCACGACAGCAGCTCCTGCATAAGAGCTCTTGCCTCTGGCTGGCTGTGGCTCAGGCCCAGCAAGCACGTCCAAATGGGCTTGACGTCCTGCAGCGTCTGGGGATTGCACAGCACATACAGAAATACGGGACGCAGATACTCAATGCTGTAGTTCCGAATGCTGCAATCAAATAAATATGTTTTAGTATTATGATCATAACTATCTACAAGCTGGTTCTTACTGCTTGTCGTGATGCTGGCAGACGCCAATAATCTTGTTGCTGACATCATGCATGTTGGCGCTGCTGTGCTGCAGCAGCGATATCAGAGGATGCAGCTGCGTCTTCAAGCCATAGGGACACTGATACACCTCCTTGTCCTTAAGCAGCGAGGTCTTTCGTTTCAGACCCAGCAGCTGCAGGCCCAGAATGCTCTCCGTAATAATTGCGAAATGCATCGGCCTGTTGTAATATTAAGCAAAATGTGCATTCGTTTTGAATCTTATAGAATTTTATCTTAAAGTTCTTTAATTGTACATTAAAGAAAACATATAGTTTACGGGGACGGAGATGGTTCTTCAGGCTGTTACGTACACTTGCATAAAGTCATAATACCCCCTTTACTAAATTTATGATGGGTTTAGGGTATAAAAAGGAATAGTTAAAAATCGAAGCTAGTCTTTTGCGTGCGTGTCTACAAAAAACTGACCATCAAAGTGAGCAAGAGAAAGGCGTGCTGCGTGTGAAGTACAATTGCAATTGCAGGTAAGGTATATATATATATATATCAGTTGTTAGTTGAACGGGTTTAACTAGCGTTTAGCACCCACTTCCGTCACACACACACACACACACACACACACACACACACACACACATACCCAGAGAGAGAAAGGGAAAGGGCTCGGGCTGGAGCTGCTCCTGGCTACTTGCTGGCGAATCGTTTTGCGCTTGACGCGATAATTACAACTCGCGCGGCTGGCACAATGGCTGCTTGCTTTAATTGCTGTTTCTGGTGCAAGGGGCAATTAATATGCAATCCTTTTTACTGGCACCTGCACTTGGCTCTTATCAAGGTTAATTTCCGTATTACATGCTGTTTACTTTTTACCTTTTTGGCCAATGTTGATAGCTGTTGTTGTTGCCATTAGGGTGGGGGCGCGGGCGTCCTTCGGAATGTGAAAACATTTCAAGTTCAATGCCGCGCACGTTTCTCTCTGGCTTGCATATCAAATATTTGCCTGGCAAGTAGCCTGGCGCGTAATTTGAATATGGCCAGTTACAGCCACAAGGCCAAGACGCTGTCCTTGATAAAAGGCTTCCTCTGGGAGTCGCATTACGGAAATGGCTAATAGATTTTTTTGCTTTCTTTTGGCGTTTTGCATACGTAATGCGTACATTTCAATTGCTTCGTGTCACTGTTGCTGCTGGGCAGCAGGATTGCGGCCAGTGGGTCAGCGGCAGGAAGCTATGCAAATTGCTCACGCACCTGGCAAGTCAATGTCAATGTGCGTGTAAAAGCATTAACAACTTGGATTTCCTAGTTGGCATGCCGTGTATTTCACTTTTCGCATTTATCACATGCCAATTAATAAGGGCACAAGCCACGCGCCAGCCGGAAGTGCGAGGGATTGCCAGGTGGGCATGGCCACTGGCCCAGGCAAGCCCTACAATTGGTTAGCTAATCAAATGCTGCAACCAATTGTTCAATTGTCGGTGATGCGCCAATGCAGACAGAATGCTAATTTATGCTCTTGTGTTACCAATTTTGCAAGTGCATTCGCCTGGGCTCCTTTGCCATGCCAATTAAGCGGAAGTGCCAGGCCAGGGCGCGCCCCTAAGACGTGAGCTTGTGTGTGTTGGTGTGTGTGTGCTTGTATTTTGTTTGGTTCCGTACATACCCCGCATTGGGCAGCATTGATAGGAGCGTGTTCTGTACGCTGTTGGCATCTAGGACACCCTCGTCGACTAGGCGGACCAGGGTCTGACAGCTCATCAGGCTGAGTTGCATGTGCTCGTGCTTGCATTGGGTTTTAAGGAACTCGATTTCCTTGATTTGGTGCTCGGCCAATTGCTTCTCCTTTGACTCAACGATTTTATTGTAGATTTTCTCCAAGCAAGCGGCTATCTTTACCACCGAACTGTTCGGCTTAATGCTGTTAAAGTCCTCCATGTAAGGGCCGTTCAACTGAAATAGAAACGGTTCAAATGTCAGTTAAACAGGACAACTTTTGTCAGTCACTAAGCCGAATGTGAATTTTTTACTCCCTCGAACACACACAGCAGGAACACGATTTATTGTTTGTTTGGGCACTACAAGTATCCCACTTTTAAATGCAGCGACGCGCGTGTCCTTTCGCCAGCTCGTTCACCACTCGAATGAAGGCGCGGCATTTTTTTGAACACCAAAAAAAAACAAAACCTTTTCCACGTTGCGCTCACCTTCGCCTTTTGGCGGCAGTATGGGAGCTTCGCGCGTGCTCTTAAAATACCGTGTTGTTGCTATGCGTGCTAGTCATTTAGCATCAATGTATTCTTTCGAGCGTCTTTTAAGGATGCTGGTTTGTCTTTACTTATTTCTTTGTTTATTAAATTGTTTTCATGCGGCACGGCAGCAATTGTAAACAAACTTTGTGGCGCACGTAAAGTCAGCAGTGCAAGCGCAAACAAGAGCAACGCTAACGCAAAAATGAGCTAACAACGCAAAAAAACAGCAGCGAAAGCACACAGCTAAAACGTAAGCGCAACATCAGCGACGTAGACGCAACATCAGAAACGTAACAATTTACGTCTCAACAGAAATTCAATTGAATGCAGTTGATTTGGCGGTGGCTGCCATTCCAAATTTGAAAACTATTGAAATGTCTTTAAATATATTAATAATGCTTATAAAAACAAATTTAGATTTAGTAAGCCAAAAAATTATCAATTGGGATTCACCTTTTTCCAGTATACAAATATTTAGAAATATTGAAGATTATTAGGCGCTCCAATTTCATTTCATTTTCATTTCAGTTATTTTATACAGTATCTTTTTACCATATTTATTTAATTTATTCAATCTTCTTGTAAAAAGTTTTTATGTTTTGCTCAAGCAAGAATTTATGTTAATATTTTCATTAAAAGCCATCTCGGCAAAGAGCTCTACTTCATTCATAGTTAAGCTACAATTATTATTATTAGTTTTTTTTGCTGCTCTTTCAGTTAATTGACTGTATATGCAGTTCTTCAAGGCTCCGTGCCGTAAAATAAAATTAATTATGCTCCTGCAGCCATAAAAATGTGACCGGTGCAAAAAGGGAAGAAGATTCAAAGCTAAGGCAAAAGGTAACTAAATCTCATAAATGAGAGTCGCCATTAAAAAGCTGAAATTTGCAGCGACCTGAAAGCATGCTCCGTACAACTGAGCAAATAAAATAAGAATGGCAAAATATAAACTGCAATCGCTCATTGCAAAGGCAAAAGCTCAAAGGTTGAGATAACAAAGCCTTAACCGAAGACAGCCCAACATCATTTCCGCTTCCTGGTAAAAGGCACTGGCAAAAGTCAGCTACAAAACTCGAATTTTCCCCTTTTTTCTTTTTTTCTTATTCGCGTTGCTTTGGTCGGGAACTTATAATTTTATTACGGCAGCGCGTTGCATAGCTCAGCCGGTAAAATGCGCCGTGAAAGTTTGTGTTTCCCTTTAAAGTTGTTCTTTAACTTTTTACATCTCATCATGACTAGCCCGAGTTCACAAAGAAACAAAGCAAGCTCCGATTTCTACGCATCACTATCATTGCCCTTAAATAAAATCTCCTTCGGGCACAAGTGGAAAAGTTAATTTATAAAAAATTGTTCTATTTTTTTTCTTGGCTTTTCATGCACAGTTTTATTTCTTTGTGCTTTATGTTTTAGCCCTTGATGATGACTGGTTTATCAGACGATATGGTCCAGACTTTAGCTGCTAAGCCCTTGCCTTTGTTTTGTGTGTGTGGGTGTGTGTGTGGGTGTATGGGTGTGTGTGTAACACACAATTAATATGCTTATATTAAGAGGGGGGGTGGGGGGAGGGGGTGTCAGCTTATACATATTTAGAACCTATTTATGCTCGTTGAAGATGTGGGATAACGTTTGAGTCTGGTTGTCAAGGCAACATTTATACATATTTTTGGTGTTAGAATAATTGAGTTCTATGGAAATTAAAAGATGTTATTATTACTGTTAATTTGCCCACAGCTCACACATGCGAAGAACTATGAATATTAATTTATATTTCAACAGAATCAAATAAGATGATGCAGCTGTTCGGCGAAGTAATAAATATTTAGTGATATTATCAAGAAATGTATTAAAGAAAATGTATTCAATTGTAGGAAACAAAATAGGAAACAAAAACTAGCGAATAGTGGAATCTATGGAATTGAGAACCAATCATTGCAATCAACACTTTCTGATCATCTTAGACCTTGCAGTGGAAATAAAAGTTTGCTTTGACCTGAATTCTTCATCCAAGCAGGACAGCTCTGAATTGAATTGGAAGATTGATCTTTGAGCTTGAGGCTGATTCAATAGACAACAAAAAATGCTTTATGTAACCAATATTCGCATTTTTTCCACACTTGCGGCTGGAATTTCTCAAAACCCTGCCTAATCGTGCACCTCTATCAAGAAACGTAGCTACAGTAAAAATTTCAAAATCCTAGCACTTACTGTTCGGGCTCTCACTCGGGAAAAATTATTTTGTATAAGGAAATAGGCCAATTAAACTTCACCCTTTGTAGCTTATAAGCTAAATCTAAATCTAAATTTATAGATTTAATTTAATTAAATTTAATTTTTAGCATGTGTGAGATCAAAAGTATAAATCTTCAATTCAATTAGCATAACAACTAGCTGCACAGATTGTAAAGGTTACATTAAAAGCTTACTTTTATTGTTACTTCCGATGCTATATACTTATATAACTTATCACTCACCAGCTCATTCACATTTCCATATGCATTTGCATAAAATGATGTCACATGCTGGTTAATATCTGAACAGGACGTACAAGTACATATTGTGTTGTGCCGCGTGTGTGTGTGTGTGAGTGTGTGTGTGTGTGTGTGTGTGCGTGTGTGTTCATGAGCTGTTTATGCTGGTGTTGATACACTAAAGCTCTGTTGGGTAGCACGTGGCAACTTGCGAATTTGCATATGGCTACAGTCTACAGCTTGGGGCTGCAATCACATTGCCTCAATTAAATGGTGTCGACTAATTAATTATGCACAAATTTAAATTATTCCAACTTAATATGCCTTTGGCGTAAGTAAACAAATCTGTGTATGTATACCTTATATGCTTATAATTGCACAATAAAATTAGGATTAAAGCTGAACACACAAGCCAGGCAACTTTAATTACTTCAGATGGAAAGCTTCTGGGCATTTCCAAGGCGCTTCCCTTTCTCTCTCTCTCTCTCTCTCTCTCTCTCTCTCTCTATCTATCTCTCTGTCTCGCTGTGTAAAGTGTATATAGCCAAATATGAATATTTATATTCACCTGTTTGCACTCAATTTCCACAAACTCGGGCAATGAATATTTATAAAATGCCACGCCAGCTCGGTGAGCTAAACCGCCAACAGGCACTTTTATGTAAGTTTCCTTCAACATTGTGTATGTGTTGGAGTTTTGCCTGCCGGCATTTGAAAAACCATCTTCTGTTCGTCTTACAATTAGTTGCCCACTGGTCGCTATTTGGATTAAATACAAAATCCACAACAATGCATTAAGCAAGAAACAGTAATTATACTGGTCAACAGTGAGTCCCACAAAAGCATGGATCACACTCAAATGGTAAAACTCCGGCAATTGAGAATCTTAAAAGATAGCTATAGACAAAAGCGCGATAATCGGAATTGGCTACAATTTTGGTTAACATTTTGCAGCATAGTGTAAATGCCTTAGCAGCTCAACTTGCAGTTTTCAAGCTCGGCGCAGCGAATCATGAATACGCCATGGTGCACACCATTTTCTGTTGCCTACCTTTCGGCGCGCGCAAGCTCGTCGCACGTCTGGGCCTGAGTGTGTGCGTGTGTGCGTGTGTGCGTGAGTGTGTTGGCATGTGTATACAAGTTTGCCTTTTGCTTTGGTTTATTTCTTTTTGAAATTTTCCCTCGCCCACGGCACAAATATATAAAAAAAAAAATTTCAAGGCTTGGCAACACGAAACAAAACCAAAAAACCTTTTCAATTTTCAGCTGGCTTTTTATTTTATAAATTAGAAATTGCTAATACATATATACGAATATAAGCACATACATGGGTATGTACAAATGTACTGTAAATATAATTTGTGCCGCACGTGCGTTAAGTTTAATGCGGCCCACAAATTGTGGATTCTGCGGCCCGTTGTTAACCCTGCTGGCCCCAGAAGCAACTGAGCCAAACAATTATGTGTTGACTCAATTTGATGTGAAATGCCTGAATACATAACTACTCCCACATATTTGTCTAAATATAAAACTGTTGGACCTGCCTGATGGACTGATTGACTGAGCTAGAGCTGGGAAGCTGAAATACTTGCGGAAAATTGGTGGAAAACGGATGGGTGAAACTTATTTCATTCATTTGAGAAGTGTTTCAATAATATCGGATAATTTACCTTTCCATGGTGGAAAGTGGACGAGCTTTTGGGCTCAAAGACATTTCCCAAGATTTTAAGAGAAAAAGTTATATTTTGATTTAAGCGTTTTCATTTTTTAAAACTATTTTTACACTTATTTTTTATTTTGCCGACTTCAAGAAATGTTTGGAAATTTGCAGTTAACTCTTTGGGTCGTGTAAAGCCGGGTAATGCCCGACATGCCTGCCTTTTTTTGTTTTGATTTCAATTTAAAATTAAGCTGTTTTTATGTCATGTATGTGTTTATATTAACGGATCATTCCTTTTGCTCTATGTTTACGTGTACTTTTTCTAATGTCCATAAGGGGTTAGGTTTAGGGCGGGGGTCAGCTGCAGGGGCTAGGCATAACTTGCAGCAGGCACCAGGCGCTAAATGGCAATATATTCCGAGCGCAACATTAATTAAGAAATTCAAAGGGCAGCCACAAGCTGACGCTTGGGCATTCATTTTGCTCTAAACAAACTGGCGCTAAGGCTAACAGACTCGCGGACACCCACACACACACACTCACACACACACACACTGGCGCATTCACACTCATGCAGTGGCGACTTTATGCGGCAAAGGGTTATAAGCATAAAAGCCCGAGGTGTTTAAGCATATTTACACAATACGTGCATACAGCACACATGTGCATGTGTGTGTGTGTGTGTCTGTGTGTGTGTGTTAAGCATTCAGACATGTGTGGACTGTTACCCGCTGGTTGTCCCCTCGCACAAGTGCCTGTGGTTACAGAGTGTGAAATATTTTGCTCTGCCACATCCTACACACACACACAACCCCCAGCCACTATACACACGCGCACACACACGCGACTAGTATGTGTTAGTTGAATGTGTGTATATTCTTGTCCGCCGTATCTTATCTGAGGGTCTGCCCAGCAGCTCCTAAATAAACAAGTCCGACGCGTTGGTATTTCCTGTATAAAGTTGAATTTCGAGCACAATATGTTTTCGAACAATTCGTATTTGCTGTTCTACGTATACCAAGTTCATAGAAACTAGAGCTCTCTTAGAGCTCTCTTATGAAACTATATAGTGTATTGTTGTTGTAAATGTTGTAGTTGTTGGCATTGCTGCGGTTTTTCGGTTTATGAAGCGACCTTTTCACCAAGTAAATGGACTCAAATAAAATGGCTCATCTTAAATTAAATTCGGCACGCCTTTGACATTTCAACACAACTTCCCATAAATTGTGCAAACATTTGTCTTTGGATGTATTTTTGCTAACGTTAATTTGAGCACAGCTGCAAGAGGTAAATTATTATCACCAAATGGCCAATACAAAGAAAAATGTAAATGTAAAATGCTTTAGGGCTCGACTGATTTGCTATATGATAAACTAATAATATGATATGAGATAATCCGTGCCCAGGTTTGGATTTCCTTAAAACATAAATGTATGTGTAAAAATATACATACCTTAAAATTCACAGACGCTTGGTAAGTGTATTTCCATCTACAAGTTGAAAGCGACCAAAATTTTTAAATGCAAATCACTAAAAGTAAATGAAATGGAATAAAATGAGAGGGCGAGAGAGAGATGAAGAGTGAGAAAGGGAGAGAGTGCAAGAAAGTTAGAGTAAAAGTGTGAGTAGAGATAAGGTTGATTAAATTGCACACACATCGTGTAGTACTTATAATAAAATCATGAATGCCGGAAGTCTACTTGAATTCTTGAGAATCGCATAGTAGGGCGCTGTTTAAAAATTAATTCTAAACAACTGCATTTAAAAAGCGGCGCAATGGAAAGTTTACTTGTTATGCATTTGCTAAAGGGGAACATACCTACATAAATACATACAGACTTAAGTACAATAGGTAAAATAAGAACAGACATATAAATAGACACTTGCTTACATGCACATAAGCAGAACCATATTCTCTTACGTACATACAAGAGCAAAGCTTATTAAAATTACAACAATACTTTTAACAAAACATTTAAACTCAAAGCATGCCGTTCTTAAGTCTTATTTCAATTCATGAAAACTGCATAGAAGGGCGATGCGAGTTTGATTTTATTAATTTGAAGCGCAACGGGGGAATTAGTGAAAATCTGAAGTGAACTTTGCATTGGGAGTAGGTTACATACATAACTACATACATATATATTACACACATAAATAAATACATACATACATTCAAAGAGGAAAATGAACTTACCCGTGTTTGTTATAAAAGCAATTTTCTTCAATTTTCACAAAGAGCATGAGGATTTATTTACCAAAACTGTTGCTTTTGCAAAAGTCAGCCAAACTCAGCTTGTTGTCATTGTCTTTCTTATGCGAAATTAAAGTTTATTATTTACTTTCAGATTTTTTAAGTACGCGATTAATCCCTGCTCTAATCCTATTAAGTACATCTTGTTTATCTCGAGCATCCTTGACACAAACCTGTTTCAAGGCAAGTAAATGGTAGAATTGGACAGATGATGGATTAACCACATTTACAAGTTAATTTCAAGTTTTGATTTTGTCCCGCTTGTGAGGAGGGGCTTAGTTCGCTATTGTTTTACCACTTAATTTGGCTTTATTGATTATATGACATTGAGTATAAACTTATGCGCTATATATGTGCACTTAACCCTGGAAGGGCTGAGCGGCCTGCTGCGGTAAAGGCTGTCCACCCGTCAAGGCGCCCAGGCTCACCTGCAGGGAGCGCAAAATGCCAATGGGTATCTACGGTAAGTTTGAATATGTACAAGCAATTAAATGGACATTTACACAGTAAACGACGATGGGAGCTCAAGTTACTCACCTCAAGTGCGTTGCCCACAACTCCTTGGGCCTGCGGCGCAATGACGTGGCCGTCGACACCCTGCGGCCTCTGGCTGGCGACCTTTGCGTACTTGCGCGTCTGCACCACCTTGGCTTCACTCTTGGGCGTCGCCTGTGAGTGCAAAAACAAAATATATTTATATATAGCGACAACGAAAAAAATTGCCAATTCATGCTGGCTATGAAAATAAATGGCTGGCAAAAAACATGGCTAATAAAACCGAAAGCTAAATAAATGCTAGAAATTAAATTTCGCTGCCACCAAAACTAAACGAACAAAACTCAAACAAGTCGATTGCAACCGACTGCGTAATACTCGTTCACAGCTTGATAGAATTCTGAAAATGGACTACCCGATAAATGTATGGATTTGCTAGATTTTTGGGAGTATCTTTGGGTAAGTTCCGTTCTGATGGAAGTCGTACTTCAGGAGAGCCGAAATATATTGAAGAAAAAGTTGATAAATTGAATTTTAAGCTGAAGCACAACAAAATACAGTAAATGCCAATAATCTGGCAATAAGTTTGTACCTATCCAGCATTTTTCTTTTTGGTCTGTTTCCAGATCCTATCATAAGTTTAATTCAGACAAACGGGCGGGCATTGCAGAAATCCAATATACTCTCTTTACAATCCGTGAACGAGCATAATAATCAGAATGTAAAACACATGCAAAAATTATTGAAAATATTTCAACAAGTTGGAGCAGCAGCTGCTGGCGCGCCAAAAGGATACAAAAAAAAAAATCCAAAATAAAAAGCGCCCACAAAACGTTTTAAATAAATTTACAGCATAAAGTGGTCAAATATTTTGACCCAAAAGCAAAAGTTGCAACCAAAAGCCAAAAGCTGTTGCTTCTGGCCATTTTCCATATCTAAATGCTGTCTGTGTGGGTGTTGTGTGCGGGTGTGTGTGTGTGTGCTCATATGTCTGTGTGCATATGTCTGTTTGTGTGCGTGTGCTGTTGGCTTTCTCTGCCGCCCAACGCCTGTGTCTGCGTTTGTTTGCGCTGCTCTCGTGGCTATTTTGACAGTTTGTTACCTTCGCCGACTCGTCAGAGTGTGACTTTTGGTGCTCCTCTTGTGGCTGAAGCTGCTCCTGATCCTCTTCGACGAACACCTGCGTTCTGTAAACGGTGCGCTGCCTTTGACGTGGGCGTTTCACACGTAGGCGTGGTCGCTTCACAATTATTAGAGGCGTCGGCTCCTGCCTACTCAGTCCGACCTCTGCGGCTGGCAGAGCTGCAGCAGTCTGAACATGATTTTCATTGATTTGAGTGGTCGTACTGTGGTCTGACTGAACATGGATAGATTAGGTAGGGTTCAACACACAACCAGACACACACACACACATGCACACATTTCGATTTGTGTGCTGTTGGCATTCAACCCGAGCTTAAATTAAATATAACACATGCAGACACATTCCGGCACACAGTATTCCTGCGCTGAGCATTGGCTTTTGGCTAAAATATGCCTTTAAGCTATATTTAATAAGTGAATTATATTCCATTAAAAATATCAAACTTGACAGCTGCGCGAATATAGTTAAGGCCGTCAAAGCTGTCAGACAGCATTTGTTAATTAGCATAATGCTAATTTTTTAGTAATATCTATGGGCACAAAAAATGTTGGATATCTTGATGAAATATCCCCAGCAAATCAAGCTAATTGGTTTATTCTCTAAAATAAATATAAATATTTCTCTATCTATGCAAAATTTGGCAAATGATGGCTGGAATCTGGCAAGCTTAAAGCTTTAAAATCTGTAAAATTGTACACACTTCTATAGACCTTGCAATTATTATATATATGAGATATTTTTGTAGGCATATTGTCGACCACATCACTAAGCGTTTATATTCCTTTTCTTAATGAAAAACAGATGGTAAACTGAAAAAATAAGAACGGATGTCTAAGCATATGCTGATGATGTGTTAATATTAACACATTGAATCGCTTGCAAATTTCATCCAATTATTGGAATTATAAAAGCCCTGCCATTGAATGATGACATCGCATATTATTATATTAACCAATATACAGACGATGTAGGTGTTCCACACTGCGACATTAAAAAGCTTCTATTCAAAATCTTCGAAATTAACTTACATGTTGTGCAATTAGCGAATATTTTTTGGGCGGCTTGACCTTCTGGATATGGCTCGGAGCCGTTGGCAGCACTGGAGGCAAATCTTCAACAGCTGGCGGACCAGAGGTCACATGTTGTGGACTGACTTGTGCGGAATGAACGGACACCTTGCCGGGAACGTGCGCCTCAGAACCGATATAGCCGCGCTCGCCCACACTGCCGCCGAGCAGGGCGCTGGCACCAATGTCATCGTTGGCCTGAGCCGCTGCATATGCACCGCCCGCCGTGCGTCCTACGAATGTGTTGGATTAAAATCAAATTAAAATCAAATTGATAAATGCGTTGTATTACCGTTAAGACCGCCACCAATACCAGCTGCGGCACGCGATCCCCAAGGTGTGCCCGCCGAGGCGCTGAGCCCGCCGTGGGCTGAGTTGCCTGTCAGCAAGCCGCCGAGTCCGGCATCTGCATGGTAGCCGGCGAAATTAACGCCCACCTTACCGTCGCGCAGTGTAATCAGCTGTGGGACGAAGATACGATACAGATTAGTGAGATGAGCAGAGTGCGGTGCAGTGAGTTGGCCAAAGTTAGTTATACATGGCGTATACTTAATGCTATTGAAAGTTGCGCTCATTGTTTAGGCACGCCGAAACTTTGTGCAAAAGATGCCGGCGCCATTTTTTACAAATAGTAAAAGTTTTTGCGCCCAAAAACTTTGACTGAACACCTGCAGACATTACTGCAAAAGGTACAGGTGGACAACAAGTTTACACACATAATAATCCCGGGCTACCGGGCAGTGCGCGGTGCCGACTGCCTTCTGCCCCAAAGATCTAGTTGCCAAAAAGCTTCAATCAATTTAAATTAGGTTTGCCAACTTTCTTAAAAAACACCGAAATACGAACGAGATTCGATTGAACACCTGCGTTTACGGCATTTACCATATACGGAGCAAAATATCAATGAGACCTGCTCTTAAATCATAAATTTCAATTAGAGCAGAACTTCTGTTCCTCAAATATGATTTATACGATTTGAATGGTAGTTTAAAGTCTTTTAATAGTAAGTTTGTTTAGTTTTCGAAAAACATAAATCAATTTTAGCAGTTATTTATATAAGAAGAGTTAGTAATAGAAGGCCTCTGAGAGTCTAATACCCATAATTTTTTTGAAACCTTTTAGTAATTTACTTTGCATAGAATGTTATTTATGTCACTTTCCATAGAGTGTCCCAACTTCCTTTTATCATTTTAGAAAGAACAAAGCTAAATAATAATTTTTTGTTAGCCGGCAGCTATTGGTCTTTAGTCTAATTTATTTTTAGTTCTGCAGCTGAGTAAGGTGTTGACCTCTTTTCAGCTCAGGATGGGATGAGCTACACAAAGAGGTCTGGCCAGTCTGCTTCCATTGTGTGCTCTCCGTAACAAGCACAAATTGGACCTATGCAAAGGAAATATCTTCCTCAATGACAAAAAATAATGCTCCCTAACATAACAATTTAATGTCATGTTATTATTATATTGTACTAATATATTATTATGTATAACAAATCGAGAGCCTCTTAAATAAGCTGGTTTGCTGAAGAGCATTGTTATGATTTAATACGTCTAATAACTAGGGCCAACCTCATATTTTCCTCAAAATAATGACATTGATTGGATTTCTAAGTGAATAAAGTGTCAATATTCTATGCCCCAATATCTGTCCCTCATCTTATCTACTAGTCTATACATTTCGTCATAGATTTTTCCGTCATACACTCTCTGCAGCGTAGGCCCAAAATTCCGATTTCCCAATCCCATATGTGTACCTGTGTGGGCTGCTCCCTTTGTAAACGTACACATTACATGTTTTAAAATAAATTTTAAATATTTGCACAGTTTGCAGTTGTTGTTTCATATTTGATCAGCTTAAACAGTTAACATTTACGTAAATGGGAGCGCAACCGACACACAAATCTATATCAAAGTTAATGATAAGCTGATAAGCGTCAGTCGCAACTCGAGTCGCGAGCGAGTTTTTAATGTGTCAGTATAGCATATAATGGGTATGAATGCAGACTGCCTTGTGGAGAACGCCGGCTGCACAAGACACAAAACAAACAACAGCCTCAGCAAACGATATTATCAGAGTTGACAGACGGAGCGGAGCGCGCGTTAAAAGAAAACAATGTGCAATAAATGAGGCACGACTGCTGCCAGCCAAGAGAGAGCGGTAAAACAATAAAAAACAAAAGCGAAATAAATATACGTGCAACTGATAAGCAATTTGAAGGTAGACAAAGCGACAATATTTAACCTGGTCACCTGGAGGCGAATCATTTGAGTTTCACACCTAGCGCGTTGCGCGAATCTGTCAGGGCGGGGGCAACTGCGTCTTTGTGTCTGTGTGGGTGTGTTTGTGTGTGTGCTTGTGCCACCTGTCGTCATGTTGACACACACAACGCTGCTTATCAAGCGCAGCAGCCAGTTGCTGCCACTTCTGCTGCTGCTGCTGCTGCTGTTGGCGGCATTGCGCTGCGATGGCGCCACGGTCACCTGGGGGCAGGTGAACAAATACGCCAGCACGCTGCATGCACAAGATGTTTACCTCGCGGATGCGAATGTGAATGTCACGGATGTTGTATATGGCACACAGGTAAGCGTAATAAACATGTGTACACACAGCATGGAAATATGTATGTTATACTACATGGACTTGTTCACACGCAGAATCCCGAAGCTGTCGATGCCTATACGATTACGGCGGTGCACGCCTACGATATGACGCCGCCCGAGGGCGATGGCGGGCGGGCGCAGCTGTTGGGCGGCGGTGTGGGCCAACAGTTTGCCACGGTTCGTTTCCAGCGGCACAGATCGGTGCCCGTGTTGCACTATCAATTGGTCATTTATGGTGTCGAATTGTGAACGCGTGACAGGTTACAGCTGAGGTGAGTAGTTGCCACTCTACCATATTTCCCATCTCATTTGCACTCTCCCATCTCCATCTAGCTCGCACGCACTGGCGCTCTGTGTACTTTGCTGCTGCTGTGTTTTTATTAACAATTTTTTTTTTATGTCTCACAACTTAATTAACTTCTAATTAAAGTTGGAATTCGACGCAGTCGGCTTCCTGCTCGGCGACAGACAGTTGCTAACTATATTATAATAATTTCATAATTAAGAGCATGAGTTGCGCTTATTAAGTTGAAAAATTTGAAAATTGCATTATAAGTTACACACAAACACACGCACACACGCACGCACACACACGACACGTCGGAATTTAACATTGTGCGACATCTTGACAGAAGCCGCGGATGCTGCTGTTGCAGCTACTCGTAATGAGATGCAAATGCGCCCACTCACAACCAACCCACACACCCTTACCCACAAAAGCACCCCCCCATCCACACACACACACACAGACAGCCGCTTAGCGGTTTGGTTTGCAGGCGTATGTCGCTTTAAGCGCCTGATAAATGCAGCTTAATTCGAAAACTACCTCCCCCCTGCAGCGCCACTTAAACTACAATATGCACGTAAGAGGCTTTAGGCCGATTAAGAAAGAATATATCTATAGTTGTGAGCAATCGCATCATTCAAGAGCTGATTTTGCGCTTTGCTTTTACCTGTTCGACTTCAATCAGCGACTTGTGGGCGTTTCTGGGCAATTTCCACCTGCCGAATGGCTGTTTTTATGCCCACAACTTAATTAAGTATTCATATATGTCATTAGTGACTGTGACTAGTAAATCTATATGCATTCAATTAATCCACTTTTACGAAAAGTTAAGCCCCAATAGATATTAATTGAATGACTCACACGAGCGATAGTTTATGCACGGTAATCATAACAAAACAATTGCGTTCTCTATAGAAAATAATTAATTGCCCGATCAGAGTTTCATCAATAGATTAGCAAAACTAGCATTTTATCTGATTAGAATATACAAATATTGTATTATTTATATTGTCTTTGGCCTTTAAACGACATATTAGGGCTGCAAGCTACGATAACTTTATCGATAAAAATCGTTTTTTCAATACGATATTTATACATATTATTATTATACAATATGTATTTAGTTTAATTGATGATTTACATATTATTTATAATCAAAAGAAAAATTGAATTCTTGCGATTCGATATTTAAGGTTTGTTAAGCGATAGTAATTGGGCCTGACAACGATAAGTAATCGATTTATTTAGTTAAGTCTATGTACATATATTTCTAAATTATCAAAAACATTTTTTAAGCTTGAAATTTTTAAATTAATCTAACTAATCACATTTTAAATTTGTTGTTGTTATTTTATCCTGCTGTTTTTCAAATAACCCAATTTTCATTTATATTCTTGTTAATTTAACTTATCTATAATAAAAATTATATATTTTTAAAAAATTATAATTTAAATTCAACTGTTGTTATTATTGTCATTTTAATTATTGTTTATATTATAAAAATTAAAAATATTACAACATTTCAAATAGTACACTCCCATCCATGGCTTGAACCTTGAGCCCAACGCCTCCCTCAACAGCTCATTGTCGCTATCAAGTTTATATATCACAAATGCCTTCACGAGTCATAAATAAATTGTGATTACCTTTGGACTATATACAAATGCACTGACATTGTTTTTATCTAGTTTACTTATCTCACTCTATAACCGTCTAATATATGCTATTCTTTTGTGTTTATCTGGAAAACCTGTTTAATATTCCCCTCAATACAATGTAAAAGATGACATTCACATCTAACTCCCAAAAGCTTCTTTGAAAAGTTAGCAACATCTTTCTATAATTTATGAAACTAATTCGCCATTGTTCCGCGAAACGTTCTAAAGAAAGATGCCAACTGTGCTTAGGGCTGAAGTCAGCTCAACAACAAAAGGACATCTAATTTATAGGAACTATTTGAACCGCTGCATTAAATTGAAAACGTTTATTTGGCATTATGTGAAGAGCTGTTTGTGCTTTGTTTGCTTGTTAAATATTTGCACGAATTCATTGAATTTTTCTGTGGCTCGGCAATTGAGTTGATAACTTGAGTGTGTTGCTTGTAAATGTCTATATTTGCACTTTATTTACGGAGCTGACAGAATTTGCTGATAAACATCGGAGCGTCAATTCTTTGAATGCTGCCAAAATATAAACATTCGACCCGAATGGGACATTGTGTTGTGCTAATTTACGCTGCAGATTGCAGATTGCAGCGGTCCTAAGGCCACAGACAATGCTTAAAGTAACTCGGCTCTTGACCTATAATAATTTTCCACAGCCAACTCTTTGTGAGTTGCTGCCGCAAAGTATTTGGCCCCAAAATAAAGCGCTTAGAGTATTTGCATGAATTTACCATGAAAGCTGAGCCAAAATTATAACTCTGGCTGCAACCCTTTACAAAAAAGACCATTACGCGGCCCTTAATTTCAATTTCAATTGTGTACAATTCCCACGACACACACACACACCACAATTTAGTGGCTGTGGCTTTGTATATGTATATATTTATTTTTGGGTTGTTTTTCTTTTTTTTTTTGCTGGCCGCCTAACAAATGCAAATTTCATGCATGCGTTGATTAAAATCTAAATTCTAGTCGCCCGCCAGCGCCGTGCCCGTAAACAAATAGAAATAAACCCAAGTTGCCGAGATTTTCAAGTTGCGGTCGCCGCCGCGCAAAGTGCCCAAAATTGTTACGGCTTGCGGCAACCCCGAAAACTTTGGCTCGACGACATCCGGCGAGCAACAAAAAAAAGTGGACTTAAAAAAACTGCAGCAGACAAACAAAGAGTGCGGCGCGAAGATACGCCCAGCACCTAAACACCCCGCGGGCTAACATGTTTTACAACTTGCCGGCGAGGCCGTCCACAACGGGCCACTTTTGGCCTTTTGCCACCTGAGCGCCCCCTGACAAGCGGCACGGATGCAGTGAGCACCCAAAAACTGACAGGACACGCGACAGCATGGCTGCTATGCGGACAAGTGTTTTACACACACACACACAAGCATGCATACATATGCATACATGTTGTCTTGCAGTGAAAATATGCGCCGCATTTGGCGGGGGCTTGCACAATGCGGCGTATGCGTAATTAGCTAAAAATTGCTAAGAACGTGGTCGTTGGGTGCAACCGACTGCTTAATACTCGTTCAGAGTCCCGCCAAATAAATAAAGAGGTAACGATTCTGTCTATATGATATAAAATTGTGTGAGACACTGATTAATGCTATTTGTCCCTGTGAGAGTAGCCTTATAATTCTTCGCACTTAACGTGACAATTGAGTCCTTTTCGGAATGATCAGTCCCTTTCTCTAACCTGAACCTTTTGAAAATGGATAAAAAGGGTGGAAAGGAATCCTGCAATCGTATGTTACATGCAGAAGAATGCTTCACTGAACCCTTAAAGTAAGTGGATGAGTGAATCTAGCCATGTCCGCCTGTCTTCATTTCCCGTAGTCCATAAGTACTTGGCTTGAAATATAGATTATACTTTCATCGATTGCGCGAAAAGATTGAGTCTATTTCCAATAATCGAAATCGATAGGAAACCATTTCGACATGCTGTTTTTCATCATTAAACTAAGCTTATACGAGTTGAAGACAACATACTTTGGTATGTAGAATTTCTTAGAGTATACACAGTCCCGCAAGTATCAATCTTTTCGGTTTCAGTTAGAAGCTTCTAATTTCATAAAGATCGGCCTATACGTTGCGAAGTTAATCACAGCAGCAAACAAGCGAGCGGCCAGACACGCCAACGGACATTGCACAAGGCTAATATACTCCATTTAAGAGTTCGTCAAAGGGTATAATTACCCTCCATTTGTGTTCGTCTCAAAGCCATATCAAATTGCACATAGGTTGGTTGAAAGTTCAAGGTGGCCGCTGTTATTAAAATGATATATGTATAATCGTTAGCTCCGGCTAAGGAGTGAACTCAACAGACACACAAACTCACATAGCAGCACACACACTCACACACACACCTGAACGATGCTCGAACTATACTTGCACACTCTAGTCGTGCTTGTGGGTTAATGAGTTACCCGCGCGGCGATTTAATGTTCAAAAGTAATTACCGCTTGCGTCTTGGTATATGCAATTACACGAACTGCTGAATAGCCATATAGTAAAATTCTCCATTGCCGCATTTAATCGCCGGTGCATTGCGCAACAATTTAATATGCCCAAAATCCACACATTGCCCAACCAACTCCCACCTCCCACCTCCCATTGTCCAGCCCTCGCCAAATGGCGCAAATCAAGAGCTGGTCCCGTTATCGTTTGAATGTGCAGTGAACCGCAAATGAAATCAACACCCAGTATTTGTGCTTACTTTGACCCTTGACCCTCGTGCAACATTGGCAATCAGTTTGATTGTTCAAGTTTATGCCGAAACTCTGTTTGAGAATTTGTCATTCAGCTATTATTAGGTAAATCCATTGTATTACTCAGCCCTAAAAGCTGCATTGTCTAACATATAATTCAATTTGTACTTTGAGAGAAGAACAATTTGTATATTATATTATATTATATTTTTCGTTAGATAAAAATTCTTTTCACGCGAATTCAATTTCTTAAATAATATACCCAAGTTCAGATAAGTTCTTGATTAATATACCTAAGTTCAGATAACTTCTAGATGATCTTTAACTAAATCTTTAAACTCTTATAAGAAGTGATATTCTATCATGATTAAACCTTTAAAAAACTCCAACCAACATTTGATTGTCATATCATATAGTTTCTAAAGCCAAAATCTTTTGGAAATAAAGTGTTTATATGAAAAAATACCTGACAGCTGCCACATATTTGCAAGGGTATATAGTTCTTCAAGAGCTTTAAAGCTAGGTAAATTTGTCTGGGGCATGAAATGATAAAAATGTTTAAGAGCCCTTCGTTGAAGTAGAATGTGCAGACTTCAGGCGAATAACCAAGTGTATGATAGTATAATGATATCGTTTTTTCATGGGAAATTCTTGAAAAGCTCTGCCGCATATACCCTCTATTTGATTGTGAGTGTGGATGTTTATTTGCACTGGCAAATCTTTGCACAGTTTTAAATAAATAAAACAATTTGAGGTTTCGCGTTTGATGGGCCGCGTATGCGTACATTCCATGGAAAATAATTGAAATATTTGCATTTTGCAAACGGACCGACCAAAATTGCTAAAAAAATTAACCACAAAATGGTTTTGTTGCCCAGGGCTGGGCCCTGCCGGTCGAAGTTGTTGCGAGTGTTAGCTATGAAGTTGGTTAGCTTGATCACAAAGTTCGCAGCACACAGTACATAGCACACATGAGTGCGTAGTTATGAAAGGTGTTTTCAAAGTACAAACAAGAATATACAACTTTATGCTTCATACTTAGTGGCTAGTTGGTAAAAACTCACCTGTGCCGGGGCCAGTGCGGCTTGCAGCAGCAGCAGCAGGCAAACTGCTCCGAGTTGGGCAAACATTTTGCGGCTGAAAAACAGGTGAAACAAAATTAATTTCTTGCTTGGCCAACATCTGCCAAACAGCCCAAAGCCGTGAGCTCTCTATTCTGCGTTGCAAGAGAAGCTTGCAAAAAAACAAAAGACTCGTCTGTTTTGGTATGCGAAACGCGTCCACCTGCCGGCCGGACAGTCGAGAATGTGAATTCTTCAAGCCAGTCAAGCCCAGCACAGAGGCGTAGTCGGGCCAAAACCAGCTGGGCAACAACTCTCTGGGCGTGGCAGTCTCTTCATACATAGCATCTGCTTATTATGTAGAAATGTTCTGTCAATTTGTACCTGTACACTTTGTTTTTTTTTTTTAGATGGCTTTGCCTTTAATTTGAGCTTGCTTCTGCTTCTTGCACTTTAATAAATCTCAGACTCGAAAGAAACCCGTCCACTCGCGTCGCGTTGTCGTTTAGCACTGAGTACGACTCTGAGTCTGAGTCTGAGTCAGAGTCAGAGTCTGGGTCTGGGTCTGAGTCTAAGTCTGAGCTGGGCTTAAACTTGAAACGCGTAATGGAAATTGCCTGCGCGACGGGGACTACTCGGGCTACTGGCTACTGGAATTGGATGTCTGCTGGGCTGGATTTGAGTCGCAATTAAAATGCAAACATCTGTTTATATAGGAATTTATTCGTTCAATGTCTTTTGCATATTTATAATGGACAAATAGAATAGCCGTACAGTGCGCGAGATAAGCGCGAATCTGATGAAAGTCTGTACAAAAATGCTGTAAGTATATTAAGAAAGCAGGGGCTATTTTCGACACGCCGAAGATGAAATACCCTAGTAGAAATATGATGTAAGGTTTTGCAGAAATGTAGCGTGAACTTGGTATGCCAAGTTTTGTGAAATTAACTTGAAAACCGAACATTTTTCATACTCAATTCCGAACCGCTTTGTCTGATGTTGATAGAACTTGGATTATGTGCAAAGGGCATAGGGAGACTAGTAAGTCGCGAGCTTGGTCAAGATATCTGATAATCAGAAAAGTTGTTCATACCAGAACTTAATTAGCGAACGATCATTTCCATGTAAACGATATAGTGATATAGTGGTTCGCTTAGGTTTCATGGCAAAGTTAAGCTACCCTCTATAAGTGTATATCTCTCTGTGTATATAATATATGAACTCTTGCATTTAGCTGTGAATGGCTGCAATTGCGCATACGCCCCAGTGGCAAGTATTTAAGTGCTGGCAACCGGTTCCGAGTATTGCATTAACTATTAACTTCATTTTATCACTTGAGCCGTGGAGTGTAGCTTTTATTTCGCTTCGAGCCAGTTGTTTCGTTTAATGTTTGGCAATGCTGCAAGGCCGCTGGCTGCAGTTGACCATAAAGTCGCGGCTGAGTTTCCATTGCGGTCGCATTGAAGTTATTCAACTGGCGAATGTGGCATGGAAACGCACTTTTATGCGTCACTGTGGATTAAAATGTGCACCGCATGCGGTCGAACTGGCCGCAGACTCCACGCACTGCACTTTAAGCCTTGCCACGAAACGCCCTGCCACAGAATCAAATGCCAAATGCCAAATGCTAAAAGCCGCATGGCCATTGGCCATTTATCTTTGCAGCTGGTGTGGGCCTTTTTTTTTGAAGCTGGTGAAACGCTTTTTTTATTCTTTCTTGTCCTAATAAGCGCTCATTAAATATTCAAATGACAGCGGCATGACTCTGGACAGGCATTTGGGCAAATGTATTTGGCTTTTGTTTGATTCGTTTGGCCACGGAGGCACGTGCTTGATAAATTTAAATGCGTGAACGAATTCAAATAGCCATAAAAAAGGGCCGCATTCAGCGAAATAATTAAATACGCTAGATTTGGCGGCAGTCAATGCCTTTTTAATAGTCAGCAAAGGCTCAATCGGCGTGCATGACGGACTCTTCCTTGAATTGATCACAGCCATTTGAATTAAGCTCTATTTTTCAATATTAATTCCAGTTATTTGCCACGCGTCTCTAAACCGAACCTAATGAAATTTAATCATTAGTCTGTGACATTGGGAAATTACTAAACTCGTTCGCTAATTGATTGTCGTCAGGCACAAACATATCAAGTATACGCATTTTATATATTTACTTACATACATGGATCATTAGAACGCCAAGCTGTTGTTAAATGAGGTTTGATTAAAACAAGTTTGCATCAGTATTGAATAAGGCCTGAAGCAGGTTGATGAATTTGTATGCTGGAAAAATGAAAAATGAATTTTAAATTTATTTTTATGATTTGATTTCAATTGCTTTAAAAAAGCCCAATCAATTTTTTGCTCACATCTATTTAATGCCCGAATTCAAACACCGTTTCTTAGTATTGTGAACAAAATGTTTCTAGATAAAATGTTAAAGTTTAGTTTCATAAACAACATTCAACATTTGTACGAATACATACTTACAAAAATAATCTTGTTAATTGTCAGACATATGTTTCCCAGAATTACTAGCTACAATTTAACTTGATTTAAATTCGTTTAAATGCCTTTGAAATGCTTTAATCTTTTAGGTGTCATTTAAATTTGTTAAATATTGAAGATATATTTCCTGGAATTGTTAAATTTATAAATAAATTACTTGAAAGACTTTCTATTAATTGCCGTTTAAAGACCTTTAAGCTTTGGCAATGTTTTAATCTTTTTGGTGTTATTTAAAATTGCATTCCAGGAAATCTTTAAACATTGATTTCTCAATGACTGACGCCCCGCTGATATGGCCAGGCGGCGGCTGTTGACATTTTTGCAAGCGCACTTTGTTTTGTTTTTATTTTCTTCAGTGTAAAAGCTGCTGGCATTTTTGTGCGACGCTCGAAAGTATGCTCCACTTTTCGCCCGACATTTTTTCATGAATTAATTATACAAAACGAAACCGTTGCCCACTTTCAGGCTGCACACATAAAACCAACAAAAAAATGCCACCATTTTCTATTGAATCATCGGCGGACGCTTTAAATTTAGAAAATATATATTTTGATTGAATTATAATACGTTAAAAATGATGTGTTTTCCAAATTCATAGGTGCCAGTGGATATTGAAAGCATACTTTTGGGAGTTTTACAGAAATTTAAACACAAGGTTATTGTACTGTGTTTTTTGGAAATAATTGTTTGAATAACAACTATTTGAATAGGAAAAAAGTTTGACAACTATCAAGATAGTCAACATTTTTGTAAAGAGCTCAAGTATTGAAATTAAATTTTATACATATATTTTGTATTTTTTTTTTTTAATGTTATATAAATACAATAAAATACGACTTACAACAATTTTACATATATCACAAATTCAAAACTAAAAACGACAACATTTACGAACTAACAATATAAAGACGCACGCACACAGACACATGCACACATGCAAAAACAATAAAAACAATCACAAACACTTACAGTTTTAACTAAACTAAATAATAGAAATGCCCATTTAACACACAACACTGAGAAACGTGTGCGCCTTGCCCTTGCTTGGCCAAAGGTCGAAGTTGAATTACAAACTAATTACGAACAATGTAAACGTAAATGTAAATGTCAAGTGGCTTGTTTCTGTTTTTTTTTTTTCTTTTCTCTGTTTTAACTACGCCAGCTCTTCGCGCATTTGCTGGCGCTTAGCTGTGCTCGTAGATGCTGTTGTTGTTGTTGCTGCTGAGAGCCTAAAGTTGCCGGGCATAGCGACTGGATGGGCCGCCGGCAGGCGCAGTGGTGCGTCCGACTCTATGGCCACCGATTTTTGCATCTCATCCGGTGCCGGCGCCTGCCGATAGCTGCCCGTGAGGCGACCCACCAGATTGTTGACGGCGCGCAAAGTGGAAATTGGTATCTGCAGCAAATGCAAAGCGGGCTAGTTAGGCATCGATTGGTAAATTGCTGTCTGCAGCAAAGGCGCTGCGGGCTTTCACATAGATTATGGAAATGCGCACACTTACCTCGAAAATGCTGTCAATTAATGGCCGCAGGCTAAAGAACGGATAGCTCGGTTCGGCCGCATTGGCACCTCCGACCGCACCGCTACCGCTTCCACCGCCGCCAGCCAAATTGCCCAGCATCAGCGCCGCATTCTGCTGTATGCTATTGCCACCGCCGACTGCGGACTGGGGACGCTCGTAGTGGGCGTATTCCTGGCTAGGATAGAGCAGCATATTCTGTACGGGCATCGGCTGCAGCAGAGTCTGCAAAGAATCGACAGTAGATATATAAAAACGCCTGTCAAATGATGCCTAAGAGCGAACTCTTTAATAAGCCGCAAGTGTATACATTTTTATTGCATTAGATACTTATTAAAATATTCAACCTAGTCTACATATTTAACACTTTTCAAAAAAATAATGGAAATTGAGTTGATTATTCAATGTATATAAGTGGTTTTAAGAGCGTCAAAATCCAAATTTAAATAAATTAATTTAATTTGTTATGATATTTTTAAATTGTTAATTGAAACACAAGAATGTTAGAAATAAGTGGATGCATTTAGTAGAAAAATCTGCTTGTTGAATAGAGTTTTTACTGATTGTGATAAACAATTTTATTAGCGTCATCAGAAATAAAATAATAATTATTACCAATGCATATGTGCTACTTTTTTTTAAATATTTTATGGAGTGGTTTTTAAGCCTACCAATGCTCATAATAAATTCCAATACTCATTCTCTCTTCTCTATATTCATAATCTGTTACTAAATGCTCTCAATAAATTTTAGAGGGCGCTAAAATGTATGCAACAGAAAAATTTGAAACTTGCAAGCTCTAAACGCAGCAATTGGTTGGCAATAAAGCTTTTGTATTAACCCACTAACAAGTCGCATGTCTATGCGAGTATTACGTTTTAAACAAGAAGCAGATACCCTTACTTTAGTGTTAGTTAAAAGTGTGGTTGGGCAAATGACGTCGCTTACTTACATCGTTGATGAGCACCAGCTCGTTGCGTTGTCCTCTCGCATAGCCGGTGACGCGTGTAAATTCGGTGACCAGGTGCGTCATGACCACCAGCAGCACAAACCAGACAAAACGGTCCATGGCTGTGATAATTATCTGCAAGAATAAAAAAGGGAAACAGCTTGATTAAATGCATACTCATGCATTAGAAACTAATGCAATCAAACGTACATCGTTGTCAAATGTCATTGGCGGCATTTAAATTGTTTATTTATATTTGGCAGCTGGCACATTGATCTTGCAATTAAATGTGAAACCAGAGTCTGGCAATTTGCAATTAACGAAAACAACTAAACTCAAAGTCAAGTTGATGCAGTAGTGTCCAATCCGATCGCAACTCTCCGACTGAAACGCCGATCACGTTCTCAGCCAGCTAAATGGTTTTGCGCCCATGGATTCACTGGCAGCAGTTGTGCCCCCCCATCGAGTATTCGAGTTTGGTTTCACAAAACAGCTTAAAAGCAGTCGCAGAATTTTCAGCTGCTGCGGCTGCTGGGGCTGCTGCGACTGTTGTGGCTGAGATTCTGAAATGTGGATTAGCACAAGGCCAGCTTGCCGCGTGGCGTTTGCCAGGCGTAACCAGTTTTTCATGTGCATCGAGCAGTGCGAGCAGTTTTTCCATTGCCCGCGCATTTTCCGCCCGTTTAAGTCCGTTTTGAAAGCTGTCACAGCCCGCCAGCAGAAAGCTTGGCCAAGGCGAGGGGCCAAGTGGCGTATGCGTAATATTTGAAGGCAGCAGGCAGCAAGTTTATTTGCCACCCACTAGTGTGCAAGTTCAAAGGTCAACGCAATGCCAGCCAATAAAATACATTTTTAAAATACACACACATATCTGTGTGTCCCGCATCAAATGCGACACTTGAATGACTCCGCGTCGTTTTGTATATCTCTGCGTTTCCTTTGATTGCAATCAAAGCTGCAAAACCTTCAAAAGTCTGTGGGGGCAGCGACTTTGCATAGTTGGCCCACGCTGAGCCCAGCCCGGCGATTGTAAGTGTGCCAAGTCTAATTGTACAATTGTACAATTGTTGTGATTGTTTTTTCGTACTCATCTTGACTTTGGCGCTTTAAGATTCTGCCGCAGCCTTGACATGGATTGTCGGCAAGGCGCAACAATAACAATAAAGCATCGTGTTACGGGGTAATTAAATAAATAATTAAGCAAATGCTGGCTCTAGCCATGACCCTTGTCAAAAGGAGAAGGCTGCTGCTTCGGCGGGCTTAAAAGATTCTCTTGGCTCATTTTTTGTGCGCAAACAAACTGCAAAAACTAAAAAATGCAAAACAAAAACCAAAAAAACGTCAGAGCCCAAATTAAAGCTAACAAAAACATTGAACAGTTAAATGCTGAAATTATTAACATTCGTTTAGGAAATGCATAAATCAAGAAAACTGTGATTCACCCAAGCGTCAACGTTTGAGCAGGGCAAAAAATACGTAAACAAACTCAGTCAATTTTTTTAAGTTGGCTGCAACCGACTGCCGAATACTCCCCTTTTCGACTTAGAGAGTGGCAATATTACAAATTTACAGCTTGTATTAGCAATTGCAACAGACGGCCACAAGCAAATATACCCGTTTGCGCGTTGTGAGCAAGTGTAATAAGCAGGCAATAAAATTGGCATAAATATACGGGCCTTAAACAAACTTGAGTTGGCTGCTAGACTGGGCGTGGTTTTTGGACAGTTGTATTGCTTTTTGTTTTTACAATTTGTATGCCCCTCGAAAAGGGTCAAAATGAATGGTATAATGGTTACGTGCAAAATTTATGTCACAGGCATCTCATTCCAGACAACATAAAGTATATATTTACACATATGTATTTTTAATAATGTCTGTCTGTTTGCCGGAATGCAACGAGCTCACAGATTAGAAAAGCTGTGGAAATTTCGATTGTCAGCTAAGGTTGGTTTGTCAATGCTCTATAGTCACAATATTTAGTATTTCATATAGAGCACATACATTAAAATATATCTTGAATACTCTTCTTTTCCCTGAAACTTACTTATTTGCATAATAATGGCAATTTATCGTCTGGTACAGGGTGTTTGCTAGTCGCGCTCTAGCTTGCACTTTTACTTGTTGATTTATTATCATTTTGTATGCACATTTTAAGTGGACTAACAAAATTGTAAGTTTGCCTGTTTTTATTATGTGGTTGGGCATACAATTAAAAAAGGTGACCAAAAAAGGTCAGCAAAGACGTTGTCAATGTCAGAAAACGTAGACTTGAACGCTTTGCAAGTCAAATCAAAAACAGATACTCCCGATTGGCTTCATGTATTTTCCATTTGATTGCAAAATGTGTATTGTTGCTTAAGTATATTATCAATAAATAATGGAAAATATTGGAGCCCATTCAGTTGGCAATACAAATGTTAAGTTCTGTTAAATGCGGTTGTCTGTCTTTTATGGAAGTCCTTGATATTGCAAATAGTTTTGTTTCGTGTAATTAGGAACCTTTTATTAACAGAGCATTGTCCAAGGCAACTGTATATATAAATGTGAATATATATTTTTTGATTTATATGCAAAGCTTTTGCTTGGGACACGAAAGCCCTTACAAATGCATTTTTGCTTAAATTCCATTTGCATAGCAAAAATGTCTGTGAAAGAAATAACCCAAATGAAGCTGTGCAGCTCTCCAGTGGTTGGAACATAGCCATTTTTGTTGGTCTCTGGTTACGTTGAAATTGTTGTACAGTTCTCCCAAAGTATTTACCTAAACAGCTTATGCGCATATATTTTCCATTTCAGTTGTTGTCTCTCTGATATTTAATTTCAATTTGTTTTGAGTTTTGCAAATTAGATTTCGGTCACTTTGCCGAACACTCAAGACTACATTTGTTGTGCAAGACATTCGCACTTTGCAGCAAAGTGTTCTTCTCAATTTTCGACATCGGTTATTATTGTGTGTGCACCCGGCGTATACGTTATGTGTAGCGTATACTCAACGTTGACCCGGCCATGGAGCAACTCTTAGCGCAGCGCCGTCTGCAACGTATTTACGCGCGAGTTTGTATGTGTTTGCTTCGTTTGTTTTGTTTATTGTTTATCTGGCTATGCCAGTGACAGTTTGTTTACATAACGCGCAAAAAATCTTTTGTTATTCTTTCTCAAAACTTTGGCAAATATTGAAAGTGCAAACAGAGGCAAAATCGCGTAGTAAGCACATAATGCAAAGTGGGTGGCGTCTGTCTGCGAAGCGTTGGCGTCATATTATTGTCTGATTTGTCAGGATATGCAACAGGCTAAGCAACGCACACAGACACACACACGCACACGCATAGGCCATGCCAGTCACACATTATACGGAATACATTTTCTTCAAAGAAAATGTGGCGGCAAAAGTTTCATCAACTGAAAGTCGGCCGCCTACGCGGCTTTGTTCGGCTCATTTGTTTGCTAAATGCCAATAAACGTTAATTATTTTGCTTGCATAGCGAGCAGAGGGCAGGTCTGAGGGTGAAATGCGAGTATGCCTATGGCCAGCACGTTGTTTACAACGTTCTTTAGTACTTGACAAAAAAACAATTTAAGCCGATTAATTTTGAAAACAGAAAACGCTTTAAGGTATTCATAAATTTTCATAAAATTGCGCGTCAGAGGTGCGAACTAATAAAATCAATTAAATCGCATCGGGTTTCGGGCAAGTCTTAAAGCAAGTTGGTAAACACATTATCTTGAAACTTGAAACGCATTCTAAATATATATTGTTATGCCATAGCGAATTTTATCAAAGTTATATTAAGTTCATCAAAGTTTGCTGTTTTTCCTGTTTAAGTTCCAAGAACTCCAGGGTGTAGAATGCCCACTTGTGAATATTTCAAGTTCATTTCAAGAGTTTTGGTATCAAATTAGTTTTCTTTCTAGGAAAAATAGGAGAAGGTATGCTTAAGCCTAATTCGAGGCTGTCTAATCAGTACCCAATTGTATGCCCTAGTAATAAACACACAGAAATTGGATTTTCGTTTTACACACTTTGCATAGTTTTCATTACTTGCCGCTTATAATTCCCAAATAGTTAATGCCGCAAGGCAGAGTTGCCAGCAAAGTCTGCTGACGATGGTGCCGGAAGGTTCTTGAAATACCGGCTTAAATTTTGGTGGTCATAGTCTTTAATATTAAAAAAAAAAAATAATAATAAACAGCGACCTTGAGTCAGCCAAGCTGAATATTACTTAACACTCAAGAGGTTACGAATATGTAAAATATATATTTGTGAACTTTCAGCTCTGTTGTTGATAGATTCACAATACTTAATTGTGTTTTCATTTCTCACACAAGCACATCGATTAACGGAATGTTTCTCAAAACAAAACAAAATAATAAAAAAAAAAAAAACAAAAAAACGACTTTTAATTTGTTTCTCGCTTGATCTACAACAAGAATTCAGATTATTGTTTTGTCTGGGAATGTTGACAATATCTCATTGCGCTTATATTGTAATTAAATAACTTTTAATAACATTTCAGCAGATTCACAGATTCATAATGTCTTAGTTTTGGAACCGTTTATATTTCCGGCTTAAGGCTCCAATCGCATCCGTTTTTATCTTTGTTACTTTCTATTTCTATGGCAATTTCTATCGATTTCTTTGGGATTTGGACCCCGCAGCTGTTTATGCTTCACTGTTGCAAAACTAATACTAATTTATTGTAATTATAGAGATAAAACAAACTTTGCGCTGTTGAGTAAAAGTTTTCCCCCCGGCAGAACCAAATCGACCAAACTGAATCACAAGCAGCTGAAAAGCAAAAGTGTTAAAAACGGGTTTGGAAACTTGAAGAATTTCAGTTTCAATAGTTTCGCTGTTTCGGGACTTTGTTTGCATTTGCTTACACGCTATTGGGGTTTATTAATTATTCATAATTTAAAGACTTAGCATCGGTTAAGCATACTCCAGTTACTACATCTTCAAATTCTCTCTGCGGTTCTGGCAAAGTTGCGAGCTTTTGTTCGACAGTGTCCGCTCTTAATGAGCCAGCACTAATTAGCAGTTGCTCTCGAGTGACTCTTCAGGCGGCCAAAAGTGTTTCTGGCACCTGAGGTGGGCCTTTGTGGCAAAGCAGGAACTCACCTCGTTTGTGATGTAG